TTCTATGTCTATCCCTCTCTTTCTGATTCATTTCGCTTAGCATGATACTTTCCATGTGGTACCACTTGTATGTAGAATTCATGACTTCATCTTTTCTAACAGGTACATAGTACTCCATTGTGTAAATGTACCAAAGTTTCTTTACCCAGTCATCTGTTTTCGGGCACTCAGGTTTTTTCCAGATGCTGGCTATTGTAAAGAGTGCTGCAATGAACAAACAAGTGCAGATGTCACTTCGACTATACCTTTTTGCCTCTCTGGGATATATTCCCAGGAGTGGTATTACTGGGCCAAACAGGAGCTCAATTTCTAATTTTTTGAGGATCGTCCATACTGTTTTCCAAAAGGGCTGAACCAGTCGGCATTCCCACCAGCAGTGAAGGAGTGTCCCTTTCTTGCCACATCTGCACCAACATCGGTTGCTTTTGTTCTTTTGGATGTGGGCCAGTCTCTGAGGTGTGAGATGGTATCTCATTGTGGTTTTGATCTGCATCTCCCTGATGATTAATGATGTAGAGCATTTTCTCATGGATTTTTTTTTAAGGTGCTCAAGGGCTGTTCCTGACTCTGTGCTCAGGAGTGACCCCTGGTGGTGATCAGTGGCTCAAATCGGAGTCAGCAGCATTCAGGGCCAGTACTACATACACCCTGTGCTAGCTCTCGGGTTTTCTGCTCCTGACAGTAAATAACTCCTGCAGGATGAGAGAGCCACCTGTTCTGTGCAGCACCTGGGGAGCTAGTGTGAAAGAAGGGAAATCAGGCACAGGAAATGGAGCCCAGACATGGCCGAGTTATCCTTCCCATTCTGGATTTAAGTAACTCCTTTGTTATCAAAAAAAAAAAAAAAACCTGTTAGCATCAGTGACCTGCTGGTTATAAAGCGTATCCTGGGCAGAGAGTGAGAATTAACATTTAATGAGCACTTGCCATCTGCCAGGCGCTGTGGAAGACTCGAGGCTCCCAACAAGGGAGTCATCAAGGAGGCCGTCAGGACCCTTGCAGAAGCAAGATGTCCCCCCTGAAAACTCCGAATGTGCACGAAACTTTCAGAGGATCTGGGAGCAGGTTCCCTGTAAGCCCAGCTGAATATCTGAGAGCACAGCGGATAGCCATGGCCACCGTCCCCTCGCACACACAGGTCAGACACGGGGCCCCAGCAGAGGCTGGAGAAAAACCTGTCTTTTTCCTTCTTTCACGTACTCTTTACTTTTTTTAACTGCTAACCCTGCTATGATTAGAGTGTTGCAAATTTTAGTCATAGTCCTGGCTCACGCTTTGTTTCTGTTTAGGGGTGGTCACCCCTGACGGTGCCTGGGGGCTACTCTGTGCTCTGTGCTCAGAGCACCATATGCAGTGCCAGGAGCCAAACTGGGGTTGGCCACCAGCAAGGCAGGCGCTCCCCCGAGCATGACCCCTTCAGCCCCTCACTCCCATCTGGCTGCTGTGTGCTGAAGTTCACACAATCTGTTGTGGCGCCAGAGGCTGCCGAAGGCAGTGCTCCGCCACCGGGGTCCTGCACAGCACACAGCCAGGACTCTGGCCTCATGCCGGCAGGGCGGGCACTCCGCCATGGCGCCCTCCAAGCCCACCAAAACAGTACTTCAACCTAAGCGAAAGCCACAACTTGCTGCCATGGCCGATTCACTTGCTTTGGGAGCGATAGCACAGTGGGTAGGGCGCCTGCCTAGCATGCAGTCGACACAGCCGACCCTAGTTCAATTCCTCCACCCCTTTTGGAGAACCCGGCAAGCTACCAAGAGTATCTCGCCTGCATGGCAAAGCTGGCGAGCTCCCCGTGATGTATTCGATATGCCAAACACAGTAACAAGTCTCACAATGTTACTGGGCCCGCTCGAGCAAATCGACGAACAACGGGAGGATAGTGATAATTTTTAAATAAGTAAAGATCATGTGAGCATCCAAAATCTGAGTGAGGCATTCTGGACTAGACCCCAGGAAACGAGGAAGCACAGAATTCCGAGGGCTCCAATCCCATTTCCTGTCACTCAAAAGCCCCTTTTCTCTGAAGTCACCCACCCACCATGATGGAAAACAAGCCAAAGGGGCACTTTCCTTAGAGGATTTTTGTTCCTCGGAAAGGAAGCGATCTCCCCTTAAAATGATCGATCCATCCATCAAAAGTAAAGAAGCCAAAGTCTGTGAATATGAAACAAAAAACAAATTTAATCTTAGAAGATGACATTAGTATAAAAGAAAAATAATACATATAATTGTTTCTTTACAGTTACATATATATATGTGACAAATAGTCAAATAAGAAGGAAACAATGGGAGGCAGTTAAGCTTATTTCTCTTACGAAGCACGCGCAGGGGTGACTGAGGCAGTGTGCTCTGAAGAACGGATCTGGGGGAAGGGAATGCTCTCCCCAGCAGGTCCTGCCGGTCCCCACACATGTCTGGGGAGTGCTCCATGGCTCTCTTGCATCGACGGTGGCCTTGTACACGCCTGTTTCCATGGTGACAGAAGCATTATGTACCGCACCTCCCCGCCAGCCTGCCGCCCACTCTCCCAGGAAAGACACCGCCTGAGCTGCCTGGGGAAAGTGGCCTTGCCACAGTGCGTGTGAGCCGTGGACTTGGCCACAGGTGTCTCTCAGGGTCCCCAACCTCCCCGCAAGCTAGGGCATGACTGTGAATACTGATCATTCCGGTGTGGAGCCCGGTCTGATTTCAGCACAAAGCCTCTCGGGGAGAGGAGGTGTGGCTGAGGGCAGGGGGGCAAGAAGACCGACTTAGGGGAGACCCAGAGTGAAAGCGCGTTGCTCTGGGGGAGCATCTGGGCGAGACGGGCACGAGGTCCAGCGGCAGAGTGTGGAGAAGGCACCGTTTCCCCACAGGGGCGTGGCCACAGCGCCTGCCACCGTGACCCCGGCTCATTGCTCTGCTCTGACCCACACCACCAGCCCCGCCTGGGGGTCCCTGCTCACTGCCGGTCACCCGGGCAGCCCTGGGCCCAGGTGCTGCTCTGCACGTGCAGGCTGGTGCCCGCCACCTCTGCCTGCACTGCGCCCACCTCACAAGCCGTCACAAGTGAGCACAGGAGGTGAAAAGGCTGAAGGCAAAGAAGAGGCCTTTCCAGACAGTGTTCCGACAAGAAAAAATGGACGTAATACAATGGGATTTAAAAACATGTTACAGATTAAGAAAATTAAATACTGGCTCAAAAATACCCACCCCTCCCAAGTCAGAGGCAGGGGACAGTACCCTTGTGTAGCAGGGGGTGACGGGTCTGTCTCTGAGTTCTCTGTTAAGACTTCACAGGATTAGAATGGTTACGTAGAACAAGGCATAGGGTCGGCTCTCAACTCTCCAAGCACAGATTCCAATGTTTCACAGCTTCTCTAAGAAAAATGACTGACCGTCCCCTTCCCCTTTAAGCAAGGGAAAGCAAATTCAATAAATAACCTCCACCACACACACGTCCCCAAATACACACGGCAGCCACCCGTGGGTGGCTCTGAAAGCACGTGCAGGTGGCAAGCTCTCTTGAGGCTCCAAGTCACCGGCTCGTCAACCCTAGAATGTTCCCTGAGTCTCAGCCCCCAGCATCCGGGTGACACACGCCACAGACTCCCTGACCAAGCCTGTGCCCTTGGCGCCCGCAGCCCCTGGGCCCGCACGCCTGGAAGCGCGGAGTCCTGGGGCCGCTGCGACCAGCCCATCTCCAGTGGCTCCCTCTGGAGTCAACAACAGCTAGCGCCAGCCATTTGGTGTCTCAGTCAGAAGAAACCGAACAGAAGCACCCACAAATGAACCTGCTAGCACTTTCGAGAATAGCACAGCTGCTCTCAGGCAGACCTAGGAGCACCTTCCTGCTCGAAATCACCTGTCGTTCACCACCCAGCAAGTGGGAAGGCCAGATTTTACATTTCCCTTCACTACTGCGACAAGAGCAAAAGAAACAAAGGCGAGAAAGGAAGTGCTTCCCCAGAGGTGCGGGCGGGACGGCAGGCACAGCTGACAGCCGGCCCCTCTCAACCCGGGGACTGGCCTCAGTGCTTTTCAGGGAATAGCCCCACGAACATGGGGCTCACTTCCTTCCTCGGATCCCAGCTGGCCCACAGGCTCCCTTGGAAGATGATAGACGCCCACCCTGAGGGAACCACGCACACAGAGCGGGAACGCACCGGCAAGCGGTCGGCGACTGTCCCGGAGTCCCGGTGACCAGACAGAGGCTGCACAGTGGTGCCCAGGGTTTTTCAGGCGAGAGGAAGTGAGTGAAGGAAGTGAGTTCAGCAGCCACACAATCACTCTGGCATCATCACCGAGGACAGGGAAAGAAAGAGGTGTGTGAAGGGACAGTGTTTAGTAACTGAAATTAGTGGCAATATGGTTATCATTCTGCATTCTTCTTTTTCAAGACCACTGGTTAAATACCCTGCAATCTCAGGCCTGAGAAATAATTTAAAACTTTCAGTATGGCTTCAAATTCTCGGGACACAAAATTAAGGAATGGAGGAATACAGATTCATGGGTTAGGGCTTTCCCAAGGTGGAAGGTGAAGATGAGCGAAAGGGATCTGCCATAGAGCTTATCTAGATTATCTACCCCATAGAATGACCTTACCAAAAACAGAAACAAGAAACAGCAACAGAAATATGAAATAACCCCCCCCCATACTAACAAAATGGGGACAAGCCCAAATCATCAGTTAAAAATAACACCAATCTGCCAGGACTGACAGTATTAAAAAAATTTTTTTAAATAAAATTTTTTAAAAAAATGAATCGAGCAGTTAAGAACAAATTTCCCTGTTTTTAAAAACAGAATTTGCCCAAATACTAAAAACCAGAGCCCACCTGGTTCTGCTCAGACTCTGTGCAATGAAAGGTGTCCGACTGGTTAGTGGTTTTCCCCCTATCGTAAAAGAAATAATAAAAATAAACAGGAGTTGCTCGTGCTGGTTCAGAAGGAAGAATCTACAGACATCATCCAGGGAGCTAGATCGGAAGGAGCAACCCGCCACAGGGTTAGCTGACTTCCACACTTCCAAAGGCAGCAGGCAAGCTACAAATCCAAGCTTCTCCACAGACAGTCATGGCACCTGGCCCACACAAAGGAGAAATCGCTGGGCGGACGCAGGAGAACTCGGGCTCCTTCAGAGGAATCCTAGGTGGAAGGAGAAACAAGAGCATTTAGCACATATTCTAAATAATTCTTTTTGCAAATATCCCACCTACATGCTAGAAAATCTGCAGCATTTTCTACACACTGAGGGTTAAGGAGTTTTAAGTTTACTGGCCCTCGAAGTAAACTCCCTGGGCCTCCTTGGGCAAGCTCAGGAAATCATCCTCACGGCAGTTAGAGGCAACAAGCCCCTGGGAAGCTAACTGGTGCCCAGGGCTACTCTGCATCCTTCAAGTCCACGGGTCTCATTTACCCTCACAACAGCCTCACCCGGAGCTAACCCTCTCGCCAATTCACAAATAATCTGATGTCTACACAAGTAAGGTTGTCTCTATTTGTTTATTTATTTATTTTTACTTTATTTCATGTAGGAGTACTGCTATTTATTCAGCCATCGATTACGCTGACTGAATTGGGTTGCCCCAATTGATATGGTTATCCTTATCATGCCACGAAGCAAGGAATGGAACCCTACCCCAACTGAACGCACAGCTCCTGTCCCAAACACCACTGTGTCTCTCACCAGGAACAGGTACTACGTGCCTCCCACACAGATGAGAGGCTCTGCTGTTAATTGGAAGGAAGAGAAAAAACGATGCATGCCGCTGACCTGGGTTCAACCCAGGCATCCCACATGGTCCTCTGCAGAATCAGAAGTAAAACCCTGAGTACTGCTGGGTATGACTCCCCCCCAAAAAAAAAAAAACCAGTTAGAACTTTCGTCCTCATGTTCAGAGGAAATAGATTCAGAAAGAATAAACTGTCCTCCCTGGACAGAGGAATGGCTCAGTCAGGGGTAGGAAAGGCAGGGTGCTCCCTGGGGAGGCATCTCCCTGCCTCAGATCAGGAGTATAAAAGCCAGGGTGCTCACTGAGGAGGCCTCTCCTTGCTTCCTTGTGGGAAAGCAAGACAGCCTCGACCTTCTGCCACAAGAGCTGAAGCAACAGCAGCCCAGGCACAGAACGATCCCTTCATTCTAAATGTGCAGAGCTATGAGTTTGGGGTCCTTCTGCACGAGCTGTCTACCGGAATAGCCCTGCTGAGTAACATGGTTACAGTCAACCCAGAAAAGGAACTGGTCTACATTCACTAAGAACTTTCACTGCACATCTGCACTTGGCTTTACAAATTATTTATACTTGTTCTTAACAAGGATAACAAGTTTTGCTTAACAGGTTTTCTTAACACGCACTCTGAAATTTGCTTAGCTAGTACCCTTAAGGTGTTTCTCCTTTATCCCACCCAGCCAGGAAGGCAGGGAACTCTCAGATCTCTCCCTCAGCCCCAGGAGGGTTCTGAGTCGCTGAGTCGACTGAGAACCATCTGTTAGGGGCTGGGGCCACAGCACAGCGGGCAGGGCACTCGCTCTGCACATGGCTGACCCAGGTTCAATACCCAACACTCTATATGGTCCCCAATCTCCTCCCAGAGTGATCCCTGAGCACAAAGCCAGGAGTAAGTCCGGAGTACTGCTGGGTGTGGCCCCCAAACCAAAAACCCAACAAAAACAAAGAACCATCTACTAAACGAACTCTAGGGCAAGAACCCTGGAAGTAGGCCTGTAACTTCCACATCCTCCTAGGAATTCCAAAATGCTTCTGATCAATAAGAGGCAGAAAGGAGCTACACTAATCAAGAACAGAAAAGGCATAAAGGACTGGAGTGCCAGTTTTGCATGAAGGAGCCCCAGGGTTGATTCCTGGCTCCACACAGAGCCCCAAGTGCTGCTAGGAGTATCAGAACAACCAAATGAGAACAGAAAAGCACAATTACCTTTCTTCCCCTCTTTCTTCCCTTCATACCATTTCAGTCTTGCTGGTGTCATTGTGACAGATGGAGAGTCAGAAAATAACTGTAACAAGGAAAATTTTAGAGTGGCTTACATGTTCCAATATCTTTCCCACCGAGAGGAGTTCTTATCCTGTTCAGTCTCAACATGAAGAGTTTCACTGAAATAAGTCAAAGGCAGAAGGGACAGATACCACATGATCTCTCTCATATGTGGCATACAAAGAAACAGAGCAAGGGGATAACAAAGAGCAGGTCGGGTACTTGTCCTGCACACGGCCCACCAGGTCTGATCCCTGGCATCCCCATGTAGTCACCTGAGCCTACCGGGAGTGATCCCTGAGTGCAGAGCCAGGAGTAACGCCTGAACACCACTGGGTGTGATCCAAAATAACCACCCTACGGGGCTGGAGCGATAGCACAGCGGGTAGGGCGTTTGCCTTGCATGCAGCCGACCCGGGTCCGATTCCCAGCATCCCATATGGTCCCCTGAGCACTGCCAGGAGTAATTCTTGAGTGAGAACCAGGAGTAACCCCTGTGCATCGCCGGGTGTGACCCAAAAAGAAAAAAAAATAACCCCCCTCCAAAAAAATTTTAACTGTATTTGGGGGGACACACATGCTGGTGCTCAGGGGCTACTTACTTCTGGCTCTGTGATCAGGGCTTGGGGGACATCTGGGGTGCTGGAGAGCAAACTCGGGTCAGCCACGTGAAAGGCAAGCATACTATTTAACCACTGTACTCTCTATCCCTAATTTCTTTTCAAAAATGCTTGCTGAGGGCTGGAGCAATAGCACAGCAGGTAAGGCATTTGCCTTGCACGTGGCCAACCCGGGTTCGATTCCCAGCATCTCATATGGTCTTCTAAACACCGCCAGAAGAAGTTCCTGAGTGCAGAGCCAGGAATGACCCCTTTGCATCGCCAGGGGTGACCCAAAAAGCAAAAAAAAACAAAAAATGCTTGCTGAGATAAATTTATATCATTAATTATACACACAAACATACACACATATGTATATTATAAACTGATTATGTCACATATCAATAAAAGTGACTCTACTGCAGGCTTACTAAAGAACCTGAGCCTGGGATGGCCTGAAGGATAGCCCTCAGGTAACGTAATACTGCAGGCCTGCCTCAAATACCATCAGCCACTCCCAACTCCTAATTGATCTATTTCACTCCATTTGTCATTTTCCTAATGACTGGTTGGCTAGACTTCCTTCAATTCAAGTGTGCTTACAGGCCAAGGACATAGCTTGGTGGCAGAGTACATGCCTTGTAAGTATAGTGGTCCTGGGTATGATCCCCAGTACAAAAAAAAAAAAAAAAGAAAGAAACTGTTAAGTAAATCAAGGAAACATTCCAGAGAGACAGTCATCATTGGGGATATGGTGCCGCCAGCAGGTCAATCTGTACCTGTGAGGCGAGTGCATCCACAGCCTGATGGCGCCTTCAGACTTCCACATACCCCAAAATTGCTGCTGTGCCTTTGGCTACACCCCAAAACCTTGGGGCAAAGTTTACCAAGAAAGTAAATGGCCAAAAGTTAGGTATGTGGGAGACACACCCACAAACCACCTCCGGCTCAGCTCACCTCCGGCAAGGCCTCTCTGTTTTCTGATCTAACTGCTTAGCGACCATGATCCCAGAGACTCAGAGACAAATCTTGGAACTCAGCGGTTTTTGGCAGAAATGCATCCGGTCCCTGCAATGGGTTACCCATGCCAGACAACCCCAGGGGGTAACAGGTGTTGTCCCTTCGCCTGCTTCCCCTTGGCGCTCAGTGGCCACCATCTTCCAGAGGCAATTGGACAGTCAAGTTTGGGCCCACAGGGACAAGTGAGACACACGGGACCTCACAGGATGGGGGTGAAGCAGGCCCTTTCCTCCCTGCTCCAATGAGACCCCGAGACGCTGCCCACGAATGGCCTCTCTGGCTCCTGATCAAGCTGCTTAATGGCCATGATCCCAAAGACTCAGAAACAAATCTCAGAACCCAGCGGCTTTTGGCAGAAATGCGGCCGACCCCTGCAGTAGGTTACTGGTGCCGGGCCACCCTAGGTGGGAATAGGTTTGTGCCTTGGCCTGTTCTCCATGGCAGCTCGGTGGCTGCCATCCCCTAGACGCCATTGGACAGTCAGGTTTGGGCCCGCAGTGACGAAACACACGGGGCCTCATGGGATGGGGATGGAGCCAGCCCTTTCCTCCCCACCCAACAAGACCCTGGGTCACCGCCCACGAATGGCCTCTCTGGCTCCTGATCAAGCTGCTTAATGGCCATGATCCAAGAGACTCAGGAACAAATCTCGGAACCCAGCAGGTTTTGGCAGAAATCGCTCCAGATTTAATTGTTAAAATTTTGGAATTCCAAAATCACATGCCCACTACTGGAGCTGCATGACATCGTATGTTATTCATAATCATCAATAGAAAATAAATTGTCTACCATTGTCTTTTTGGCAGATCTGAGTGTTGGGGTAAAATTCCAAATAATAATGGTGGGTCTGGAGTCGAAATATTGAATGTGATCAAAGTAGAGAGAGAGTAATGTGGAAATCATCTGCCCCACAGGTAGGGGGAGGGTGTGGGATGGGGGGTATACTGGGGTTTTTGGTGGTGGAAAATGGGCACTGGTAAAGGGACAGGTGTTTCATTGTATGACCGAGACTTAAACCTGAAAGCTTTGTAACTGCTTTCATGGTGATTCAATAAATAAAATTATAAAAAAGGAAAAATAAAAAGTAAGGTGGAGTTCATGCCCAATTCAATCAGCCTAATCAATGGCTGAATAAATAGCAATACTCCTACATTTAAAAAAAAAAAAGAGAGTCGTCATACATTGTAAAATCTTATCACGCCGAAGGTTGTGTGTTCACGGGCTCACTGGATGACACTGTCTCACCGTCTGCGTTCGGTGCTCTTGAGCCACTGTGTGTGGCCTGGATGGAAACGGCTGTTGGCCAAGGGCAAACGGAAGAAAAAACAGGGGCCAGGCCAGTCTATATCAATGTAGTTTATTCCAATCCTTTTCACTCCTGTCTTTCTCTGCCTCCTTCTCTCCTGGGCTCCAATCTTGGAACCTCTCTCCTTCTGGCTCTGACTCTCGATCTCTAGAGCCCGAGCTCTCTCGCTTCTGACTCCCTTTCCGAGCTTACGTCTTAGTTTATATGGCAGTCACATAAGGCGGTGACATAAAGGTGGGTTGAATACTGACGAATCAACAAAGAGAGGTAAGACCACTCCTCCAGGAGATTAACTCAAGGATAAAATCTCATCTACAGAGATTACTTCAGATTACTAGGAGATCCACCCAAGGGTGGGATCCCAACAAGGGTGTGTTCTTCCCTCAGTTAGTAATCTACTTAAATAGTTGTAATAAATCTACTTCTAATATTTCTAGCAATGTCATTCTGTAGGAGCACAGTAAGAGATATAAATTTAGTTTGGTTCTTCCTACGAACATCTCACTATACATTTCGCAGTCCTCAGGCCAGGTTAATCTTCCTAACTCTAGCAGGGTCCTAGTCTCGTCTTTACTTACTTTTGGATCATGACAGCATTTGTCCATGATCATGCCCTCAACTTATAGTTGAGTATCATGGCTCTCTGGCCTGGCCCATTTCGATGCCAGGGTAGCTCACTGCTTGCCCTGGGTCCATTCAGTCCCTCGTCGGGACCCTGCTTTTGGGGTGCTAGGAACTAAGGGCAACAGAGTCAAGAAATCAGATGCCCAGGAGTAAATATTATTCGGAGTCAATCAACTCCCAAGTTACAAAGCATAATATTAACTGTCTTCCTGTGTCCACACAGAAAGGACATTGCTTACAATACAAGTTCAGTGTTCTTAGATGGGTATGACCTGACAAACCTAAGCTACCTGAGGAAGGACAAAAGAGTGTTATCCTACAATACATGAAACGAATAATCAGGGCGAAGTAAAGCTGAATGGTTCAGAGAAACATAGGAAAACACGAGATTGTATAAGAATGTCCTTCCTTCCTGAAAATGCACACACTGAGAGAAAAGTCCAGAGAACACCTACCAAGTTCATATTTTCTTTGCTGGATTGCTTCAGTTCTCCAAGACCTACAGATTCTGGCGTTGGGCACTTGGGTTTCCTTTCTGACATCATGGGATTTCCCAGGACCTTCCGCTGTTTTAGGAAGAGAAAAACAATTGCTTTAAAAACATCGACTGAGCTGGAGAGATGGTACAGCAAGTGAGGCACCTGCCTTGCCTTATATCCAGATTTGATCCCCGGCATCTCATATGCTCCATGAACACTGCCAGGAGTGATTCATCCCTGAGTACAGAGCCCGGAGTAAGCCCTGACATCACCAGGTATGCCGCCCCCCACACACACAAATTAATTAATTAATTAAAACATCTACTATGTACATATTCTGACTATACTGATCTTCAAAACTACTTCTGGGTTCAAAAAAATTCAGCTTTCTGGGCCCAACCCCTAAGTCCCCAAGTCACTGTTACTAGAGACCAAAGAGGGTGGAAGGGAGGAAGGGAGGAAGGGAGGAAGGAAGAATGAATGAATGAACCTAAGGGGCTGGAGAGAGAACACATGCTCTGGGTGCTGAGATCTGGGTTCCAAACCTGGTCTGCATGAGCCCCTGGTGCTGAGACCCAGAGCACTGAACTGGGAGTAGCCCCTGAGCACTACTAGCTGTGGCCCCATGACTAAAATGAACAACAAAAACAAAAGCCAGAGCTTATGATCTTGCTTGAGGCAAGATCTTCTCTTTCCTTGGCTGAAACATTAGAAGCACTGCATATCTGACCTAAGCTCACTACAACAGGCCAATTACAGTGCACTTTAGAGACCATAAACAAAATGCCAGTTAGTTATGGTGTAATGATCGCCCCAAAGATGAACTGTCTCTGCCAGCTGTTAAGCGTCCCCCCTCCCACCCCCCACGCCTGTGGAGAGATATTTATATAGGCCGCTCTAAAACTTCCCTTCCCTGTCATGTCCTCGCCCAGACTGTGTTTGCAGAAATTCTGAAGAGCTTCTAATACAGCCACAGGAGAGTAAAAGGCGTCTTAAAAGGGTCACATGACCACTCTGCCATTCAGAGCAAGACTAAAAGCCCTTTCATCTCTGCACAGCTTAGAAGCGGATGTGACTTACTGTAACAGCTGCCAGTGACCATTCTACCAGCTTTGGAGAAATCTTCCCTTTTTACCCTTAGAGAATAAATCTGGATTCCAAAAACAGACCATATCAAAGCACCTACATTAAACTCTATAATGTGGATATTAGCAGAAAAAAAAGTCTAGTCTTATAAAGGATAAAAGGAAGACAAATAAATCAAAGAGCTAAGACACAGAAATACTAGAAAAATAAGATCAGTACCTTTTACTTTCAAAAGTCCTAGTGAAAAGTCTCTTCCTTTCAAAAGACCAAAAAACAGGGGCTGGAGAGATAGTGTATCAGGTAGGGCATTTGCCTTGCATGCACCCAACCCGGGTTCCACCCCAGCATCCCATAGAGTCCCCTGAATACTGCCAGGAGGAATTTTTGAGCACAGAGCCAGAGAAGCCCTGAGCATTTCCAGGTGTGACCAAAAAACAACAAAAATCAAAAGACATCAAAGTCCATCAGCACGGCCAGGCTCAGTTAGCACTATGCCTGGGTACCAGGAACCCCAGAACTGGCTGTAGAGCCTCCAATGAATTCTTGTTGGATTTCTTTGGATAAGAGCTTCTCACATGCAAAGCATGTGCTCAGTCCTTTAAGCTCTTTCTCTGGCCCCCAGCAAATTTAAAAAGCCATTTGATTAGCTCCCTTCTTCATTGAGCAGAAATCTAGACCAATGACCAGTTCACCGTCTCTTCACTCACACTTTAACCTGCTGCTTTATATAATTTACTAACATTTGTGTTTTAAAATGCTTATACTGGGGGGCTGGAGCAACAGTACAGTTGGGTATGGCATTCGCTCTGCATGCACCTGGGTTCAATCCTCAGCATCCCACATGGTCTCCTGAGCACCATCAGGAGTGATCCCTGAGCACAGAGCCAGGAGGTACCCCTGAGTGTTGCCAGGTGTGTGCCAAAACACACACACACACACACACACACACACAATTAAATTAAAAAATAAGTAAAATATTTATACTGGCAGAATGATACAAGACTTTGTAATTCTAAAATTCCGAATTCTCTTTCAGAAGAGTGGGCAGCCATCAAGAGGAGAGTCTCTCTTTACATTTCAATCAACAAATATCAGTTTATCTGGAACCAGCTGCAGAGGTGCTCACTGTGAAGATACAACTACACCATTTTACACTGTACTTTGGTTTGAGGCTTTTGTGTGTTGCTGTGGCGAGGATCAAACCCAGGGTCTCACACATGTAAGACCCGTGCTCTCTCCCTGAGCCGCATCCCCCACCCTCCCATATAACTTGGAACATTTGTCTGACTACTACATTTATTTGACTACCACTTTCCTTGTTATCAAGACAGGGAAGTCAGAGGGAAGGACAGACTTGCAAATAAAATAAACTAGAGAGACAGCTATGCAGGCTGAGCAACTGTTTTACATGTGGAAGGCCCAGGCTTGGTTCCAGCACTGCATGGTCCCCTGAGCACAGTCTGAGGAAACCGCCAAGCACTAAGCCAGAAGACATTCCTGAGTACCAGTAAGTTGCAGTCCCCACTGGCCCCCTGCCCTGGCCCCAAAATAAATCAAATCAATAAAAAGAACCATGGTGGGAGGAGTACACGCTGAGACACGGTGGAGGGGAGCGGGTGCTCGGGGAAGGGGGCGGCACCCGAGCACTGTGTGCAGGAAACCCTCTCGTCAGCAGGGTTGTGAGTCACGCTGCCTCCGGAAGACCCCAGTGAACGGCAGGACACAGCATAGTGCTAACTGAGCCTGGCTGTGCTGGACGTAAACCCCATCATCAAGTAACCTACTGCCACCCAATGGCAAGAGCCCTTAACTGCAAGTTCAGATTGTCCACGAAGACGTGAGCCGGCAGTGACCATGGCAACACAGAGGATATACTGCATTTGTTTTAAAAAGAAGATTTCTCAGGAGCCGGGGAGTTAACTGCAGGCAGCAGCACCTGCCTTGCATGTGTGAGGCCCTAAATTCGATCCCTGGGATGACCACTCACAGCTGGTGAGTTCTGGGGGCCCAGAGAAACAGGGGATAGAGCCCCGCAGGCCCACCGCACAGCTGGTGCACCACATGGCTGGGCCCACTTCCAACTCAGGGCTGAGTATCAGGAAGGCGAACACCCACGAATTCCAGGGACTGGGGGTGGCTCGGGTAGCACCTGCCCTACTGATGGGAGGCCACAAGCTCGGTCCCCGGCACTGCCACTGGATCCCCAGCAACACAGCAGAGCTCAGCACAGAGGGTGCACGCCTCGGTGAGCACTGTGGCCAGGGCATGGGGGAGCCTGATTTGAGGAAGCGCATACCTTGCTCAAAGCAAGTTATGAACAAAGGGACTCTACGCTGCTGGCAAGTAAGGACTGTCATCAGCGTCAGAAGAGAAGGAAGGACCTCTCTGACTTCTACTCCACAGAGCCCTTTCTCTGATGGATACACAGTAAAATGATTTGAAAAACACAAGTTTCCATTTCCGTTTTCCTTCTCCCCTTACAAATGAATGTTCTCTTAGGACTCCCACAGAAGATGCATGAACACAGAAAACTAGTCTGTGTATAAGAAAAATCAGACTAGTGGCCAGCGATGTGGCTCAAGCTGTAAAAGACATGCCTGGCCAAGGGTGAGGTCCTGCATTTGAGCCCTGCACCGGTAGGAGTGGCCCTGTGCCCCCAAGCAAGGGGGAGGGGGGTGCCCACCACTGAAAAAATAAAACTGAAGCCTGTTGAGTGGGAAAGGGAGAGCGCAGACCTACCTTAATGAGGCCACTGAAGGAGCGCGAGCGGGCCCGTTTCTGCACCCGGGGGGAGGACGGCTCCCGCCCTGGGGTCTGGGTTGAAGACTGTTTATGGAACTGAAAGAAGAAGAGCATTCTGTTAATATTCTCCCAAGAAAAGACAGGATTCCGTGACAATCGGCACTGTAAGTACAACCCATCATAGAAGTCAGTCCAAGAAGTGAGTACATCAGCAAACAAATCACAGAAGCAGAAATAAAGCTGTCAAAACCAAGTCAAGCTTGTTTTGGGGGTTTGTTTTTGGTTTTGCTTTTTTAGTTAAAAAAAAAACTGTACTAAATTACCCTGAGTATTTAAATTCAAAAGTACCAGGGTGGGTGGTGGGAGTGGGGATTGGAGCGATTGTATAGGAGATAAGGCATCTGCATTTGCCTTACATGCAGCCAACCTGGTGTTCATCCCTGGCACTCCCAACTGTCTGCCAAGAGTATCCCTGAGTGCATAGTCAGCCCTAAGAACTTTTGGATGTAGCCCAAGAACCAAATAAATAAATGTGCTAAAAACTAGGTCAAGAGATAGGAGCAGGGTGAAGGTGCCTGCCTTGCATGGTACTGACCAAGTTCAAACCCTGGCACTGCATGGGCCCAAAAGCATGGCGAGGTGTGACCCAAAAGAAAAAGAGAGCCTGGCAAGGTACCGAGAGTATCCTGCCCACACAGCAGAGCCTGGCAAGCTCCCCATGGCATATTCAATATGCCAAAAACAGTAACAAGTGTCACAATGGGGATGTTACTGGTGCCCGCTCAAGCAAACTGAAGAACAACGGGATGACAGTGCTACAGTGCTACATACATATTAAATAAAACAAAAGGGGATGACACTCTTTGACCATGCACATCAGAAATAACATACAAAAGTTAAAAAGACTTATAAGCAAAACTGTATATACTAAGAAGTGACCTAAATCCTTGGCTCAATAATAGGAGATTTTCATTTTATTTACACTCTTATAGAGGTTAAAATGTCTCTACCGTGTGTATAATTTTTTGTAATCAGGAAAAAACCCTAGAAAATAAAAAATTATAATTTTTCAAAATGAAATGGCAGTAATTTTAATGTTTAAGGTTGCTACCATGTACAAGAAAATGCTTATAATGTGATATTTAGTGGAAAAATGGAGAGATAACAGTTTATATGGTATGATCGTAACTATATAAAAATAAAAAATATTCATATTGGAGCCAGAGAGATACAGCGGGTAAGGCACTTGACTGCATACAGCCGACCTGGGTTTGACCCCCAGTATCCCAAATGGGACCCTGAGCCCACCAAGAGTGATTCCTGAGCAATACCTGGTGTGGCCAAGAGCAAACAAACACATATATATGAACATATATTTTTTCTTTTTTGTATGACTATATAATTATGCACAAAAGAACAATGCCCAAACTGATGAGCATTTTATTTTCTTTTCTCTAGAATTTCTTATTTTTCTAATCAGAGAAAAAGTACCAGGGGTTACAGCCAGCTCTGTGCTCCGGGTCTCTCCCTGAGACGCTGGGACCAGGCAGAGTCCCCTCTGTGTAGCGTGTGTAGAGCCATCGGGGGGAGAATGAGGGCTGTCTCCATCATCAGCACACTGAACTAGCTTGCCAGTCTCTCTCGTAGGGCTTTTTCATTAAAAACAGCTCAACTTAGGCCCAGGGAGAGTGCACATGTTCTGGATGTGGGTTCAATGTCCATCACCAAAAGTTCCCCTAAGCATTGCCAGGGAATGACCCCAGAGCCACACCAAGGTGGCTAGCTCGGCCATGGGAAGCCAACCACCACCGTCCCCAGAAGAACAGCAGGTCAGCAGTTGAGCACTTATTTACATTTGGGCCTACACTTGAGATGATGTATAAATATAAATAAATAAATAAAAACAAAGACTTACCCCTAAAATGAGCCCAGGTGACTAAGATGGCAAGAGGCCACCTTCGCCTGGTCAGCTAAGACTAAAGTTGGTTCAAGATCAAATAAATTTTCTGAGAAGAAACTCACTAAGTCATCAGAATTTATTTAGCAATAATTTGAATCTCAAAATGGCAAATGAGAAGTTTAATTTTGTTCCCAGAGTTCCAAAGAAAACCAAGTTAGCCACTAGGATTCCTATTTCCAGTGTCCAACTAGTGACTTGATTCTGTGTGCTGCGACTACAAACAAGCCCCGTGTAAGAGCTCCCGCTTGGCTCTGCCCTGCCAGCAGCTCCTCTCTCCCCTTCACAACCACAGAACACCAACGTTACAATTACCGCTTTACAAACAAGAAAACTGCAATTCGGAAGGCTAAGCTATTTGCTATTTGCCAAGAAGGCTGGAGAGCTGAAGCTTTGGAACACGTAACTGCGGGTTCTCTCTAAGCACACTCGTTACATGAACAAAATTAGAGAAACTCGAACCCCACCTGGATCCCTATTTAAAGCTAAAAATTCCATCACCCCCCCCCCTTCTCTCTCCATAAGGCACTAGTGCAAAGTTTGCTACTGGGGTCAGAGAGACGTTTACTTTCCTGGATGAGCAAAAATTAAATGAGGAGAGAGGGTCAGAGAGCCAGAACAGGGGCTAAGGAGCTTGCTTTGCCCATCGCTGCCCCCAATTCCACCCCGGGAACCGCATACAGTCACCCGAGCACTTCTGGGGGCGGGGGCCGAGCACCAGAGGATGCAGCCCCCACAAAAGGAAAAATAAAATGTTTCTAGGAAGAGGGGGTGGAGTGCAGTGGCCGAACCCGGGGTCCCGAAGGTGCCAAGCTTCTGTTACCACTACTGAGCTTTCCCTAACCTAAATGAGAGTCTGAAGGGGTGACAGGGGACGGGGGACAGAGCACACACAGCAGTGCCAATGACAGGGCTTTGGGCTGGACCTTGAGACCCGGGACCACAACCAGGCCTCCTGCCTGCCCTGAGAGGTGTCAGAGGACTCCGGGCCACCTCCCTGAGAGCCCCAGGCTGTGACCTCCACTCGGGCACCTGTCTGATGAGCTGCTTCTTCTTCGCGGACTCCGGCATGCTGTGGACGTGCTGGAACAACTCCCGCAGCGCCTCCTCTGTGCGCTGCTGCGTCTCCTCACGGGAGTAGGAATCCAGCTGGTTCCGCCTCTGAGGCTTTGCCAGCTGGAAGGACTTTGTACGACAAGAAACTGTCAGATCAAGATCATCCTAGAGAAAGACATGGAAATGAATTAGTATATCCTGCTGCCAGCTTTTCTTTCGGGTTCCCACAACCCTGGAACAAAAAAGAAGAGGGTGGGAAGGAACGTGGCCTGCTCTTCTCCGGGACAGAAAAATCTAAATATTATTATCAGATAAAGAGAAAGCAATAATTATAGACTACACTGGCAGTTCACTCCCATGACCTGCCCAGAGAACCTAACTTCATTTAGAATATCAGCCCCAGAAGCTCTCCATATTTAGAGAGTTCAGTTTTCAAAGTATCTTCTAATCTCATATAATTCTCCCTATTGCCTCACACCTGTAAGTTAAGCAAGGAAAGTATCATTCCCATTGGACAAAAGGAAAAAGGCAAGTTTAAACTATAATTTTTTATTTATTTATATTTTGCTTTTTGGATCACGCCCAGCAATGCACAGGGATTACTCCTGGCTCATGCACTCAGGAATTACTGCTGGCAGTGCTCGGGGATGCTGGGAGTCAAACCCGGATCAGCCGGTGCAAGGCAAATGCCCTACCCTTGTGCTATTGCCCCGTAAGCTATAATTTTAAAGTCATCTAAATGACAACTAAAGTGACAGGCCATCGTGGAGCCCGAGTGTGCTGGTTCCTGGTGGCACCTTTCCCACACAGAACAATGGAATGTGACAGCTACAAGGCGGTGGCAGAGAAACAACAGAAAAACCACACTGCTTGGAGCCAGAGCCATAGTACTGCAGGTAAGGCTGCCTTGCACATAGTTGATGTAGGTTTGATCCTCAGCATTCCATGTGGTCACCTGAGCACCACCAGGAGTAATTCCTGAGTGCAGAGCCTTAAGTAACCCCTGACCACCACGATGTGTGGCCCAAAAAAGGAGGAAGGAAAAAAGAAAATAGAAAAACCATTCTCCTTGGTGCGGTAGATAGAGGACAGGCCTTAAACCTTGATTCAATCCCTGGCACCATATCTGGTCCCCTAAGCACCACCAGGAGTGATCCCTGAGCACAGAGCCAGGAGTAGGTTCTGAGTACAGAGGTGGCCCAAAAAACTAAGAGAGGAAAAAGAAAAAGAAAAACCACTCTGCAGTTTGACTGATTGAGAGGAGACTCTCTTCCTTAAATAAATAAATAAATAAATACAATTTCAAAAGGCTCTCTTCCTGGTCACAGATATTTGCTAACTTCCAAGTAGAAACAAAACTGAGCAGGAAAGGTAACATGAGATCAAAGTTTTATCCTGATCACAACAGAAATAAATTTTTTAAATGCTTATAAAGGGTCTTTTTTCTAAGTTTTCACTTAATTTTCCCCCAAAATATGTATTCCCTCCCCCCAGTAGTTGATGTTGTCATGGTAATAGGCTGTGGTGTGCACATGTCTGTCAGCAGTGATGCCTGCTCAGGGCACACGGTAAGTCTGGGATTTGAACTCAGGATGATCCTCTTGCAAGGCAGGCACCTAAGCCACCAAGCTATTCCTTGAGGCCCCCAAAATCTCTGCCTCTTAAAGTCAATAATCATATGCAATCTCACTAATAAGCATCACACATTTGCTCTTTAAGCTCATGTGGCCGCAAGTCTTTCTGCCATCTGACAGCATTCCTGCTGAGCCAAAAATACCAATGAAACACACAAAGCTGGACTTTCATTTCCAGAAAACATTTGTTTTGTTTCTGTTTGGGCGAGCACCTAGCAGTGCTCAGGAAACCGTATGTGGTGCTGAGGATCTGAACTGTGGTGGGTGAGATGCCAAGAGTGTCCTAACCCATATACTAGCTCTCTCCCCCTCTGAAAAACGTTTAAACACAGATTGTATCAAAGACTGTACGTGCCAAGGGCTTTATGAGAAAGTCTAAGCTAGCAATTCTCCACCAGTGGAGCTCTTACATGGGGCAGACAAGAACAATGTGTGGTGGCTTGTGGAGGGACTGTGCCTGGCAGGGCTCAGGGGACATACTTTGTCATCTTCCCAGCCTCTGCAGAGGCATTGTTATTTCAACATATAACCTTTATTCATTACTTTTTTAGGCCACCCTTGGTGTGGTGCTCAGGGGCTACTCCCCACTCAGTTTTTAGGAATCTCCCAGGTCTCCCACATGCAATGCATCACACCAGCCCTCTGAGCTCTCCCCAGTCCTGAACATCAAACTTTCCTCTCAGTCTTTTCCCTTACCCCAAAATGACAAGATAATTTCAAATTACAGTACTAAATACATTTCATTTTTCATGGATTTACTTTTATTTCATATAAAAAAAGTTCTCTCTCTCTCTCTCTCTCTCTCTCTCTCTCTCTCTCAATCTCTCTCTCTTCTTTGAGCAATTTCCTATTCTCACCTTTGATGCTTGAGTTCTGGAGTTCAAATAGTGTAATCTGGCACATTCCCGAATGTAAGCAGGAGCCTGGGTAGGAAATAACAGAAAACAAAGACAAGAGGTTAACAGTATCTAAAATTCTTTCAAGCCACACAACAATAGTTTCTAAAAGAACAGCTTTTTTGTGAACCCGCCTCCCAAAAAAAATCTCATCCCAATTCCATAGTTTCCACCAAAAACAAATATGCATAAATTCTAATGGGACAACTCCAAGACAACATCATACTCTTTCTATTTTATTTATGTAAGTGTTGCTGTTGCTTTGGCCACACCTGGAGGTACTCAGGATTTACTCCTGGCTCTGTCCGCACTCAGGAATCACTCCTCGTGGTATTGGGGGATCATATGGGGTGCTGGGGATCGAACCCAGATCAGTTATGTGCAAGGCAAGCGCTCTACCTGCTGTGCCATCTCTCTGGCCCCTATAGTTTAATTTTTAACAAAAAGCTTTCCTCCAGAGGGCTGAAGTGATAGTATAGTATGTAGGGTGCCTTTCATACAGCTGATCCAGATTTGATCCCCAGCACCTGAGAGGGTTTCCCAAGCCCCCCGCCAGGGTTGATCCCTGAGTACAGAGCCAAAAGTAAGTTTTGAGCACTGCATGGTATGACCCAAAAACAAACAAAAAATTCCTCTAGACAAGAATGATAGAATCCATGCTACCTAATCTATAAACTTTAAACAAGGCCAGAGAGATAGTACAGAGGTAAGGTGCTTGCCTTGCACAGGGTTGACCCCAGTTCAATATCTGGAAATGCAAGTGGACTGCCAACCACTTCTAGGAATGATCCTTAAGTATAGAGCCAGGAGTGAGCCCCGAATACTGCTAGGGAACGGCCCCAGGCCACCCTCACTCACCTCTCGAAAGAATCTTTTGGTGGCCAAGAAGATGGGCTGGAGCATGAGCAGAAGCCCCAGGTTCAATCCTGCTTGCAAAGTCCCTGCACTCTACCTGGGGTGATGCCGGAGCATCGACTGATCATGGAGGAGCTCCTGAGTACCCCTAGGTGTGGCACTGAAACCAAATCCAAACCCAAAACATTCTTCTGCCGAGTCTCCCATATCTACTGCTCCAATTAACTGTTGAGATCCTGACTTGAACCATGGGTCTTAAATCTACCCCATGACCTAGTAAGTCAAAGATTCTGAAATGAAAGTTACTTAACCCTAAATCCAAGATTGCCAACCCGTGAGTAAATCCCAGGGCAGAATCCACGATGACACCCTGCATAACCCCCTTTTCTTGAGTGTGGGTAGGATCTTGGGTCTTGCACCCAACCAATACTGGGAACTGAAGTCACTGCTGTGATAATCAGGTGACATTATGAGGGCTGAGGTGCTGCTACGGCACAACCGTAATTAGATTATGAGATATGTATGCATGTACACAAGTATGTATTCGCATTCACCTAGAGACATGGAGATATATATATGTAAACACACACATGTATGCATGGCTTCATCTTAGCACATACTGAAAAACTCTGACTTTGAATTAAATCGCTATGATGTGAGCAGCAGAGGAAAAAAACTATGTAATAAAATAAATCAGAAGTAGCAAGCACAATTAGGCAAGAAAAAAGCAATGAATCCAAATCAGAAAGAAAGAAGTAAAATCATCTCAAGATTCTCTGCAGATGACATGAGTCTGTCATTTTCCAACCTGATAATTTGCTGCCAATAAAACTCTTTCTCAACCTGTCACTATGACGCCTCTCATTTGATTGGCCCTCAAGTGCCTGCGGAACCAAAACAGCACAGCTACAAAATGATCTTTTATGTGGAAAACTCTTAGAGAGAAATTATGAGAACTAAGAAAGAAATTCAGCAAAGCAGTTATGAAAAGGTCGACATATAAAAATCTACTGTATAACTGAAATCCAAGCACAAAAATTTGTAAGTCTACAACTGTACCTCATGGTGTTTCACTAATAAAAATTTAAAAAAAATAAAATCAAAACAAAACAAAACAAAAAATCTACTGTGACTCTAAGCACTATGAATGAACAATTCAAAAGTAAACTGCACAAGGGAACTGGCTCAAAGGGCAAGAGTGCATGCTCAGCATGCAGGAAGCCCGGGTTCAGTCCCTGGCACCACGTTTTCCCAGCACCCATGGGAGGGACCTCAAGTACCAAGCCAGGAGTAGCCACTGAGCACTGCTAGGTGTGGCCCAACACCCCTAACCACCACCACCAAAAAAAAAAAAAGAAAAGAAATTAATAAAACAATTTCCGAGTACAGCTGGGAGTGGCCTCCACAATTCTAAGTCTTTGTATCAGGAAGACCTTATCTCTTTAACTCATTAACTTTAATCCATAGAGAAAGAAAACAGGTAGCAAAGCAGTGGAGCCCCAGCTTGCAATGCCTTCCTTGGAGAGCTCTTTTTTGTTATTGGTGTTGGGGGTGGCGGGGGCTGCTGCTTTGCTTTGTTTTTTCTTTTAATTGAGATTCTGTGGTTTATAATGCTACTGATGATTTCTCATTAACATAATTCCAACACCACACCCCTGACCTCCTCAAGATCTCTTAGCTCCTCTTAAGTGACAACTGCATCTCCCTGTCTCTCTCTGTCTCCCTCTGTCTCTGTGTCTCTCTGTCTCTCTCTCTTTCTCTCCCCCTCTCTGTCTCTCTCTCTCAGATATTCTATTATGACCCTACCATGTCACATATCTGAAAAGGCATTGATATTTGGAATACTAAAGAACTCCTAGAATTCAACAACAAATAAAACTCAAAACTAAGCAAAGGGGGAAAAAATGCTAGAGATGTAGTTCAGTGGCAGAGCACTTGCCTTGCACATGTGAGGTATGTATGCATAGAGGCCCTGGGCTTCATCTCTAGCGCCCAAAGATAACAACAACATTTTTGAGTAAAAATGTCTTCAGGGGTGTTAGTACAGTGGGTAGGGAGTTTGCCCTGCACACACTGCCCTGAGTTAAATTGCCAGCATTCTTTTTTTTTTTCTTTTTGGGTCACACCTGGCAATGCACAGGGGTTACTCCTGGCTCTGCACTCAGGAATTACTCCTGGCGGCGCTCAGGGGACGATATGGGATGCTGGGAATCAAACCCGGGACGGCCGCGTGCAAGGCAAACGCCCTACCCGCTGTGCTATCTCTCCAGCCCAGATTGCCAGCATCTATACGGACCCCTTGAGCATGCCAGGAATGATTACTGAGTACAAAGTCAAGAGTAAACTCTGAGTATTGTCAGACATGGCCCAAAAACAAAACGAAACAGAAAGTTTTCAAATAATATATACAAATAGTCATAAGCATATAAAAAGATGCTCAGCGTCATGTATCAGTAAGAAAATGCAGAGCCAGGGGATTCAAGGGCAGAACACATGCACAACATGTGGAGGCCCAAGCGGTGATTCGTGGCACTCTGTGGCCCTCCAAGTACTCTCAGGTATAACCCTGATGGCCCCTAAGCACTGTAGGGTATGAACCCACAACAACAACAAAATGCAAACCAAAACTCCAATGTGATACTACTGCATCCCCATGAACGGGAGTGTGACCGGAAAGAAGGCCTTAGTGAAAAGGGGAAGAAATGGGAAGTCCTGTGCTTACTAGTGGTAAGATCGAATGGACCAACAGCCCTGAGAGAAACAGCAAGGGCTCTCTGCCTTAGAAATTAAAGAAAGAACTATTTCATGATCCAGCAATTCCATTTCTGAGTACATAGGCCCCAAAGAGTTAAGCGATAGCCTTGAAGCAATTGAATTTCTGAGTATGTATACCCCAAAGAGTTAAGCAATGGCCTTGAAGCAATTCCATTTCTGAGGAGATATATATATATACTCCAAAGAGTTAAGTGATGGCCTTGAAGCAACTTTAATGGAATTTAATGGATTTAATGAATATAATGGAATATCATTCAACTTTGAAAGGAAAGAAATGTGACATCTGCTGTAACATGGGTGACCTTGAGGCCACTACGCCGGAATCAGACAATCACAGAAAGACAAATTCTGTATGTTTCCATTAACGTGAGGGACTCAGAATAGGCAACATCCAGAAAGCAGAAAGCAGAACGGCAGTTGCCAGGGTCAAGGGCAGGGGAAAGTGGAGAATCACTATTTAATGGGTCGAGCTCCAGCTGTGCACAATGAGAAGACGTGGAGAGATGGACAGTGGTGAGGGCTGCACGACAATATTAATGCTACTGTGGACTGTTCACAAAAATGACTGGCTTTTAATTCTTTTTTGCTTATCAATTTTTTTTTACACTTAAAGGGGGAAAAGGAACCAGAACTTCATGATCTTGAAATTTCTCAGCATTTTCCTATGGAAACATGCTAAAAAAAATTTTTTTTAAGAATGTACAGGAGTCGCAGAGATAGTGGAGTGGGTAGGGCACCTGCCTTGCTAACCCGGGTTTGATCCCCAGCATCCCATATGGTCCCCAGAAGCTGCCAGAAATGATTCCTGAGCCCAGAATCTGCAGAGCCATGAGTAAGCCCTGAGCATTGCTGGGTGTGACCACCTCAAAAAAAAAAATGCACCAGGCCAGGGAAATGATAGTGTAAGAAGTAACACACATGTCCGGCACCATCTGTGCCCCCCACCCTCACCCCGACCCACCCAGGTCCTCCAAACATAGCCCCAGCGGCCCAGTGCTAAACCATCAGGCCCCAGTCAGCCTTGAATCACTAGCCAGGCACAGCCTAGAGTGGCGCAAATTAAAAAACGTCTTATATTCACTATCGGGAAAGTGCACTCCAAAGACCACAGCTGTGACTATTGTATGGCTGTGACCATACAACCTTTTGCTAAAACCTTTGAAAACAATATCAAAAGATCACAGTATGTAGTCACACAAAGAGCCCTTTCAGGAGAATAAAGCTGTACCTGCCTTACAATCAAATCCCAGGGCCGCTAGAAAGCGGCTTAAAGGAACAGCCCCTCAGCCTTTGCTGCAGGGAACCCAGGGAGCGAAGGGCTGAGTGACAGGGCTCCGGGTATGTGGCTTCTGTCTAATGCAACAAACACCACTGAAATCCACAACACAGAAACCAGGTTCTTGAGAAAATCATGTTAGAAAATACTACTAGTTTGGACCAAAGAGAACAAAGAGGACAAGGTAAAAAAGGAGACTGTCAGAACTCAGACTTCTACCTGAATAACCAGGCAGGCGGGTGAAACCACTCTGGTGAAAGACGAAGGACAGGATGGAGCCCACTACCCACAGGCCAGAGCCCACTACCCACAGGCCAGAATCCACTACCCATAGGACAGAGCCCACTACCCACAGGCCAGAGCCCACTACCCACAGGCCAGAACCCACTACCCACAGGCCAGAACCCACTATCCACAGGCAGAGCCCACTACCCACAGGCCAGAGCCCACTACCCACAGGCCAGAACCCACTACCCACAGGCCAGAACCCACTACCCACAGGCCAGAGCCCACTACCCACAGGCCAGAACCCACTACCCACAGGTCAGAACCCACTACTCACAGGCCAGAACCCACTACCCACAGGCCAGAACCCACTACCCACAGGCCAGAGCCCACTACCCACAGGCCAGAACCCACTACCCACAGGCCAGAGCCCACTACCCTAGGACAGAGCCCACTACCCACAGGCCAGAGCCCACTACCCACAGGCCAGAATCCACTACCCATAGGACAGAGCCCACTACCCACAGGCCAGAGCCCACTACCCACAGGCCAGAACCCACTACCCACAGGCCAGAACCCACTACTCACAGGCCAGAACCCACTACTCACAGGCCAGAACCCACTATCCACAGGCAGAGCCCACTACCCACAGGCCAGAGCCCACTACCCACAGGCCAGAGCCCACTACCCACAGGCCAGAACCCACTACCCACAGGCCAGAGCCCACTACCCACAGGCCAGAACCCACTACCCACAGGCCAGAGCCCACTACCCACAGGCCAGAATCCACTACCCATAGGACAGAGCCCACTACCCACAGGCCAGAGCCCACTACCCACAGGCCAGAACCCACTACCCACAGGCCAGAACCCACTACTCACAGGCCAGAACTCACTATCCACAGGCAGAGCCCACTACCCACAGGCCTGAGCCCACTACCCACAGGCCAGAACCCACTACCCACAGGCCAGAGCCCACTACCCACAGGCCAGAATCCACTACCCATAGGACAGAGCCCACTACCCACAGGCCAGAGCCCACTACCCACAGGCCAGAACCCACTACCCACAGGCCAGAGCCCACTACCCACAGGCCAGAACCCACTACCCACAGGTCAGAACCCACTACTCACAGGCCAGAACCCACTACCCACAGGCCAGAACCCACTACCCACAGGCCAGAGCCCACTACCCACAGGCCAGAACCCACTACCCACAGGCCAGAGCCCACTACCCTAGGACAGAGCCCACTACCCACAGGCCAGAGCCCACTACCCACAGGCTAGAGCCCACTACCCACAGGCCAGAATCCACTACCTACAGGCCAGAACCCACTACCCACAGGCCAGAGCCCACTACCCACAGACCAGAACCCACTACCCATAGGACAGACCCCACTACCCACAGGCCAGAACCCACTACCCACAGGCCAGAACCCAGTACCCACAGGCCAGAGCCCACTACCCACAGGCCAGAACCCACTACCCATAGGACAGACCCCACTACCCACAGGCCAGAACCCACTACCCACAGGCCAGAACCCAGTACCCACAGGCCAGAGCCCACTACCCACAGGCCAGAACCCACTACCCATAGGACAGAGCCCACTACCCACAGGACAGAACCCACTACCCACAGGTCAGAACCCACTACTCACAGGCCAGAACCCACTACCCATAGGCCAGAACCCACTACCCACAGGCCAGAGCCCACTACCCACAGGCCAGAACCCACTACCCACAGGCCAGAGCCCACTACCCTAGGACAGAGCCCACTACCCACAGGCCAGAGCCCACTACCCACAGGCCAGAACCCATTACCCACAGGCCAGAGCCCACTACCCACAGGCCAGAGCCCACTACCCACAGGCCAGAACCCACTACCCACAGGCCAGAGCCCACTACCCTAGGACAGAGCCCACTACCCACAGGCCAGAGCCCACTACCCACAGGCCAGAATCCACTACCCATAGGACAGAGCCCACTACCCACAGGCCAGAGCCCACTACCCACAGGCCAGAACCCACTACCCACAGGCCAGAACCCACTACTCACAGGTCAGAACCCACTACTCACAGGCCAGAACCCACTACCCACAGGCCAGAACCTACTACCCACAGGCCAGAGCCCACTACCCACAGGCCAGAACCCACTACCCACAGGCCAGAGCCCACTACCCACAGGCCAGAACCCACTACCCACAGGCCAGAGCCCACTACCCACAGACCAGAACCCACTACCCATAGGACAGACCCCACTACCCACTGGACAGAGCCCACTACCCACAGGCCAGAACCCAGTACCCACAGGCCAGAGCCCACTACCCATAGGACAGAGCCCACTACCCACAGGGCAGATCCTACCACCCAGTAGGCAGAGTCTGCTACCCAAAGGGCAGTGCCCCACTCAGAATCCAGGTCCCTTCCTATTCCTCCCTACCTCAAGGGTTGCCTCCGGGTTTTTACCAATCCACCTGACTTCCAGACCTAGACAGGCTCTTCTTCATCCAGTCATCTTCATTGTGTTGGTTCTAAGAACCCCACCTTGCTCCCTGTGCCCACTCTGTCCAGTTGCTGCCCAAATCCCATTCCTCACCTACCTTAAAAAGCTTCTGGGAGTGTTTAATCATAAAAGCCATCCCATTGTTTAATTTTGTGATATTTTCTTGAAGGTCATTTGCAGTGGCCTGGAGAGAGGAAAAGAAACCCAAAGGGGAGGAATTAAGAACTGGGAAGTAAAAGGGAGGTACTCCATTTGCTTACCAATAAACATATTCCTTCCAAAGTTTGATAGTTTCTATCCCTAACAAGGGTTCCTCTACTATAATGTTCAAGTCTGGAGCAGAGGCCTGGAGAGATAGCACAGGCATTGAGGTGTGTGCCTTGCATGCAACCAAGCTGGTTCAAATCCCTGATGACTGGGAAACCCTCCACAGCATCAACATAATATATACCACATCAACAAAAAACATAATAGTAATTGCGAAAAGGTGCGTGGGTTCAGCATGAGTAGGAAATAAACTAGGAAGAACCAACGGTCCCTGAAATAGACAAGAAAGTCTTGAGCTCCACAGGAATGATCCGAAGGCACATAGCTACCCAGCCCAGCACCATTGGATGTCGCCCCCAAACCAAAAAAAGAAATGAGAAAAAGACAGCTTACATAGAATATTTTATCTAGTTAGTAACTGTGGAAAAAATAATGCAAAGTTCTTGGCCAGGAGGACCCTCTCTGCTCAGAGAAAGGTGGGGATACAGTGTAAAAAGAAAAGGGACAGCAGCATTTGTCCCTTTCAAGGAGATCAAATTTCATAATGTTTGAAAGCTCTAGGGACTGGAGAGATAGTACAGTGGGTAAGGCCTGTATACAGCTGACCCTGGGTTTGATCCCTTGCACCCCATATGATCCCGAGTCCATCCAGGAGTAATCACCAGCATGAAGCCAGGCGTAAGCTCTGAGCACGGCGGGGTGTGCTACAAATTAAAAGAAAAATTCAAGACATCCAGGAGATGGCTCAAGGGGCTGGAGCACACACTTCTTCATGTTTCCAAATCCCCCCAACCTCAAAGCCAGCCCCCTCCAAAAAAAAGAAAAGGAAAGAAAGAAAGATCAGGGCCAGATTACTGGAACTGTCCATAGGACTGAGGGTTGGGTAATTTGTGCCTATAAAAAGAGAATCTAAGAGATGTGGGTGTAAGCAGACAAAGAAGCATAGATAAGTGATAGCGAGGGCTTGGTCAGACAAGAGGCTCCCAAACTATTTGGCCTACTGTACCCTTTCCAGGAAAAAAAAAAAATTTTTTTTAACCAAGTCTCATTTCAGCTTCTTTATAAAGAAAAAATGATGCCCCTCGCTGGCACTTACGGTACCACCATCCCTGTGCAGTTCCAGTGCCATCCCCCTTTCAAGAGCAGTATTGCCCATTTGGGGAAACTGATATACATGCTGAAGTGCTTAAAAAAGAGGAGAAACCGGAGAAGGCCAGTGACTGCTTTAAGAAAAAGGTATCACCTTTACTATTGATCAGCAGTGAGTGTGCTCTTTTGCCTCGGGCTACACTGCAGTCTCCAGAGAGGCTACGTCCTTGACCGCTGGGTGAGTTCGCCCTGCTCACATCAGCCTCAGATGCCTTTGGTAGTTCCTACCTGCGCCCCGGAGTCATTCCCAGTGGTGCTCAACAACCCAAGCAGTGCCGGACATTGAACCCAAGGTCTTGCATATGCAAGGCAAGTATTTGTCATTGAGCCACACCCCCAGCCCCTCTTTTCTCATTTCTTACACTACTAAAACCTCTTTTTTTTTTTTTTTTTTTTGCTCTTTGGGTCACCCCCGGCAATGCACAGGGGGTCACTCCTGGCTCTGCACTCAGGAATTACTCCTGGTGGTGCTCAGGGGACCGTATGGGATACTGAGAATCGAACCCGGGTCGTCCATGTGCAAGGCAAACAATCTACCCGCTGTGATCGCTCCAGCCCCTAAAGCCCTTTTATACTCAAAAAAAATCTTGAGGGGTAAATGGTAAGGGAGCATTACGGCCAGCATGAAGAGGACGAAGCAAAGCACAGAGGGCAAAGAACGCAGGTAATGGATGTGGTCTGCAGCTTCCCGCCCAGATATTCTGGCTCCCATTTTCCTCACATAGTTAAACCTATTTGGGGGGGGGGGGGGGGGGGCTGGGAGGGTGCTGTTGGCTTTGGGCCACATCCAGTAGAGTTCAGGGCTTACTCCTACCTCTGCACTCAAGGATCATTCCCGGCAGGGCTTGGGGGGACCACACATGGTGCCGGGGATCAAACCTGCTGTCGGCTGTATGCACGACAAGAGCCTTACCTGCTGTACTATCGCTCTGGCCCCTAAAGTCTATCTTAAAAATGCACAGGAATATGAAATTATATTTCTGCAGGTGAAAAATTAGCTCAAAGAGTCTGAATTATCATATTTATTTTTCATGTAAATCACTGAGAAGACCCTGGTCTCAGTGATAAGCAGCAGCACATTCAGCTCCACCCAAGAAGCATCTCTCTCCAGGAAGCAGCAAAGGCAGTTACCTCAGCTCAGAGATGCTCTTCTGTAGGCTGTCAGCTCAATTATCAATTTATATACAAGCCAGGGATGTGGCTTGGTGGTAGATCACATGTCTTGCATGTGTGAGGACCCCGGTTTAACCCCCGGCACCACAAAATGATAATATAAATGTATTTTTAAACCAAGCAGTCTTCAGACATTAATTTGATTCCCCAAGAAGGCTTCTTGTTAAGAAGGAATTCACAGTAAGCAGCCAAAATATGTACTACAATTTACTTAGTAGCTACAATTTTCTACAAAGGGTTTTTACTAATAAATTGCCTCTTAGAGTAACTGGGAAAATGGTCCAGTATCCGAAGCACTTGCTTTGCATGCAAGAGCTCTGGGTTGGATTCCCAGAACCAAGCACTACCAGTAGCAGCCCCCAAACAAAGTGAAAGAAACAAACAAACAAGAAAACAAACAGAGTAAATTACCACTTATCAGAGACTGATAGTAACTGATAGTAACAGTAACCGCTCCTCAGGTTTGATAACTCTTTAATGACCTAATAAAGTAAGTTCCTAACCTCGTAAAGTTAAAGACTAAACCTTGGACCCTAGATAACCCCTTGACTACAGCCGCAGGCCTAGGACCTGGCCCGGGAAAACACAGCAATCTCGGCTCTTCCCCTTCACTCACATTTTTTGGCCACAGGACATGGGGTGCAAACATAAGAGCCAGGTTGTAAGCAGACATCTTATTCTTGTCTTGCTTCTTTGCCGTCTGGTACAGGAGATCAAGCAGTAACTTCAGCAAATTACGATTGGGCGGAGGGAGGATGAGGAAGAGCAACTGAAGAGCCTCGATTTGCCGCTCCTTATCCGGCACATTTGTCTTGTTTCCTTTGTCATCGAACTGCATCAGATCTTAAGGACAAAGAGGTGATTGCCAAAGAGAAAAATACAAGCAAGAAAATCAGGCACTACTCCTATTATCATCCTCACCTCAACTCTACCAAAACTACTTTTCAGTTGGGCATAAGCAGAGATTATAGCAAAATAATATCAACAGAGCTCAATAATGGAAAGACAAAGAAATTCCGGGGTGACCAGTGTTTAGAGAGAGAGACAGGGAAGGGAAAAGTTCAAGGGGGAAGAAGAGAATGGAAAGGAATCGGGTGAACAGGTTTCAGGGCTTACATTGGTGATCTGGGTTAGTGGCATCGCCATCTATCCAAAACACAGACTCAACAACACTGAAACATGAGGTCTAAGCTGCAACCCCTGGAACTTCGTAACGTGCCTGTCAAGTTGACAGGCAGGGATGGGGTGGGGGTGGGGTGAGGACAAAATCTGGGAGCACTGGGGGAAGGAAGCTGACACTAGTGGTGGTATGGTATGGAAATACGGTATGCCTTAAACTCAATTATTGATAACCTTGTAAATCAAAGCTCTTAAAAAAAGAAGGAAAAAGGAAAAAAAAAAAAGCCTCTGGCATGCGCAATGCAGCTCAGTGGTAGAAAGTATGAGGCCCTGAGTTTAATTGCCGGCATCTGCTTGCCAGAAAAAAAAAACACAAAACCCAATCAAAAATGCCAAAGGACGTGAACAGACATGCGCCCAAAGAAGATCTACCAACGGCCAGTAAACAGTTATACAGTCGGTATCATCAGCTAGTCAGTAACATTAGGAAACGTACTGGAGAGACAGCTCAACAGGCTGAGCTCATGATTTACACAGTTTTGATCCCTACACCACATTGTCCCCTGAGCACAGAGCCAGAAGCAGCTACTGAACACTGTTAGGTATGGCGGCGGGGGGAAAATGATGAGCTACGACTCTACGTCTATTAAAGTTTTAAAAACTGACCAGCGCAAATGTTGGCAAGAATGAGGAGAAAAGGAAAGCCAGAGTAATAGTACACTGGTACAACAGATAGGGCACTTGCCTTGTACATAGGCAACCCAGGTTCGATCCCTGATACCATATATAGTCCCCCAATCCCTGCCAAAAGTGATCTCTAGCACAGAGCCAGGAGTGATCCCTAAGCACTGCCTGGTGCAGGCTCCCCCTACAGCCATCATCCCCACCAAAAAAAAAAAAAAAAAAGTCCCTGGAAAATGAGAATTTCAAAAGACATCGATTGTCATATGGGTAATATTCACAAAGACCTGGAAGTGATTAAAAGTGTGTTGTTTAAACAAAGTTGTTGAACTTAAATAATCACTCCAGGATTAGGAAAGGCAGGTAATATTCCTGGAAACTCTTGTGTTATTATGAAACTGAAAACAAAAATCTCTCCCAGTTATCGGCAGTGTATGAAATGCTACAGCTGTACCACACCCGTGAATATGATGTCAAAGAGCAATGAGCCGCGGGAGAGGGGAGAGGAGCATTTCACATACTGTACCATAAAACTCAACAGGGCAGCAAGAAAATAAGATTTCCTCATGCGAGCCCACATAAAAGGAAATTATCAATATTTTTCTTATCTTTTTCAAAGAAGCAACAACATTTTCTACAAAATAACTAAAGTTATGCAATATCTCCTCATTTGAATCACTTGGATTGCTGATGTGCTAAAAAATTTAAAAATCTAATCTTACCTAGGGATATAGTTCAGCAATGGAGCTCTTGCCATACCTGTATGAGGCTCTGGGTTCAACTACCAGCACAGTGGGGGGGCGGGGGGGGAATCTAATCTTATTAGTTTTATGTGGCAAAAATTATTTAAAGTAAAAGAAACATTTTGGGGCAGAGAGCTGGAAGAGGAAGTCCGGTTGCAAATGGTCAAGCCCAGTTTGATGCCTGGCAACCGATTATGGCGCCCTGAACACTACCAGGAGCGCCAGGAGTGAGTCCTAAACATAGCCAGTGTGGCTCCGAAACAAAAATCCTGTATTCTGTTTCCTTAAAAGTGGAAGTGGGCAGGAAGGAGAGGGAGAACAAGGGTTGTTGGGGCACGGGCCTTTGAATGAAACTGACCCTAGTTTAACCCCTTGTCACCACCCGCGGTCCCCTGAGCACTGCCAGACACAATCCCTGATCATGGAGTCAGAAGTAGCCTTGAATACTGGCAGACGTGGTCCCAAAGCCAAAAATAAAATGAAGTTAGGAGGGTTGGACTGATAGCACAGTGGGGCCTTGCACATGGCTGACGGGGGTTCGAGTCCCAGCATCCCATATGGTTTCCCTGAGCACCGCCAGGAGTAATTCCTGAGTGCATGAGCCAGGAGTAACCCCTGTGCATAGCCAGGTGTGACCCAAAAGGAAAAAAAAATTAAGTTAAGAAAAAAAAAAAAGACATCAGGGATGTGTTTCGAGGGGCTGAGCAAATGCCTTGCATGTGGGAGGGAGGCTTGGGTTCCATGCCCGGCACAGCTGGGTGTGCCACACCGCCTCCCCAACACTACAACAGTAACACAAAATCAGGAAAAAGATGCCCCAGGGGTAGAGCTCTGTGATACAGCACATAAACTTTACACAGAGGAGACTCTGGGTTTCATCCCTAACACCACGAAAAAATAAAAGGGGAGCTGGAGAGACTGCTCGAGAGGCCGAGCTCGCGTTTTCTATGTGGGAGGCCCGGGTTCGTGCGCCAGAGGGACCCTAAGGTCCTCTGAGCACCACTGGGTGCAAACCCTCAGCACAGAGACAAGCCTAACCCTGAGCATCACTGCTGTAACCCAAAAAAGCAAAATTTAAAAAAGAAAGAGGAAAATACTCAGGGACAAAAAATGTTATATCAATTCTAATGCTAAACACACTTAGCAACATAGCACCTATGCGATTCAAGAATGAATTCCCTACTACATAAGCAAAAAGGAGAATGAAAAGGCCATGAGCTGAAAAATGGAACATCTTCCAAGATACAGTGACTGAAAAAAGGAAACCAGAACCATCTATAGAGACCCCTATACCACCACATAGAAAGGGGAAGAGAGAGAGAGGGAGAGAGAGAGAGGGAGAGAGAGAGGGTGAGAGAGAGAGGGGGGGGAGAGAGAGAGAGAGAGAGAGAGAGAGAGAGAGAGAGAAATATTTTTTGTGGGCTGGAGCAATAGCCCAGCAGGTAGGGTGTTTGCCTAGCACGCGGCCGACCTGGCCGACACGGATTCGATTGCTCCACTCCTCTCAGAGAGCCTGACAAGCTACCGAGAGTATTTCGCCCTCACGGCAAAGCCTGGCAAGCTACCCGTAATATATTCCAATGTGCCAAACACAGTAACAACAAGTCTCACAATGGAGACGTTACTGGGCCTGCTGGAGCAAATCGATGAACAATGGGAGGACAGTGGACAGTAGATATAATTTGTAAGGATGTGAAAGCTCTCTAAAAGGGTACTTTAGAAACCATGTTCTTGCCTCTGGGAAGAAAAAGTGCAGGAGAACAGGGCTCAGAACTCAGAGAGAGGCTTTTTACAACATACTCTTTGTGTCTTTTGATTTTTCTGTTCTTTCTTTCTTTTTTTTTTTTAATTTTTTTGGCAGAGCCAGTGACCGAACCTAAGGCCTCGCTCATGTAACGCAGTCACTGTATCACTGAACATCTCCCCATACCCTAAAGTTTGAAATTCTGAATCATAAATTAATTGTCTATTTAGGGAAAAAAATTTTTTTAACTTTCAGAAGTAAAAATGAACTCAAATGAAGCATATAATGACATTTAACGAAAGTCCAAAAGAAGACAAATATATACCAAACTTGTAACATTCTCAGGTATATAAATCAACTCAATGAAAACCATGCTTTGTGTATGTGTGTGTTTTCTGGGTCATGCTTGGCAGTGTGCAGGACACTTTTTTCTGGCTCTACACTCAGGGATTACTACTGGTGGGACTTGGAGAACCATATAGGGTGCCAGGGCTCAAACCTGAGTCAGCGTGTGAAAAGTAAGATAGTAACCTGCTGTACTATCACTCCAATTGCTAAAAAACCATACGTGTATTAAGCAGATAAAAGCAAATGCTCTGACCTATCCTGAATACAAAATTAAATAAAACACACACCTTAGGCCTCTTCGCGCTTACCACAGGCAGTGTTCTTACACAGCTTGTACGGAAAGGGGATGCAGAGTAAACCTACCCCATATACACCTCAGCCCAGCCCCTCTGCCTGGCTTGCAGTATGAACAAGAGGACATGATTCAGGACCGGAGCAAGAGTACAGCAGGTAAGGCGTTTGCCTTACTCACAGGCGATCTGAGTTTGACCTCCAGCATCCCATATGGTCCCCTGAGCACTGCCAGGAGTAATTCCTCAGTGCACAGCCAGGAGTAACCCCTGAGCATTGGGTGGGGGGGGGGGAGAGGGAGGAGGAGGAGGAGGAGGAGGAGGAGGAGGAGGAGGAGGAGGAGAAGGAGGAGGAGGAGGAGGAGGAGAAGGAGAAGACATGCTACAAAGGAGGAGGAGGAGGAGGAGGAGAAGGAGGAGGAGGAGGAGGAGGAAGAGAAGACATGCTACGGAGGAGGAGGAGGAGGAGGAGGAGGAGGAGGAGGAGGAGGAGGAGGAGAAGGAGGAGGAGGAGGAAGAGGAGGAAGAGAAGACATGCTACAAAGGAGGAGGAGGAGGAGGAGGAGGAGGAGGAGGAGGAGGAGGAGGAGGAGGAGAAGACATGCTACAAAAATAAAACAAAGTAAGAGTTGAGCATTAGTAATGCAGGTAGGGCACTTGTCTTGCATGTGGCCGACCTGGGTCCGATCCCCAGCACCACATACTATTCTCTGAGTCTGCCACAAGTGATCCCTGAGCAGAGAGCCCAGAGTAAGCCCTGAGCACAGTCAGGTGCAGTCCAAATTCAAAAAAAAACAAAAAAAAAACTAAATAATTTGACCTCATCTTCAAAGAAGTTCATTTAACAAAAAAAAAAATTTGATCAGATCTAACTAGCCATTACTTAGAAGCGCACCCAGATACATCATATAGTCTTAAGTGACGTTAGAAGCAACTGCTGTGCCTTACACACAACAGAAAATGCTAGATGACTTTGCCACATTGAAATACCTGTAATCACCTGTACTTCTCAGCTCCTATACTTACCAGCAATTTTGAGGTGTGCGTGGAAATGTTTATGTGTCAGCAAGGGCTCAGGTAACTCTCCTAGAAACATCTTCAGCAAGGTGGCAACATCATTTGAGTGAAACTCCCCTGACTCCAAGTCAATGTCAGTTCCGTTATTGAGAGCATCCCTTAAAATCTGCTGTCGGACACTATTTCCTGGTACTCTGAACAAACCCTCTACTCGCAAGTCTGTTTAGCAAGGAAGAAAAACACAAGACATGCAAAAAAGGAGTCAAGACAACAAAGAAACCATGATTAAAATATGCCACCTAAAAGATGTGCACCACGTGAAAAAAACCTTTACAAAGATCTTGAGGGATGTTTGTGCCTCTTTTTCCCAGGGTAGTTTTGAAGCTGCTGGCTCCTGAGCAGAACCATTTAACATCCCAGAGCACCTGGATATCTCCCAGACTGAGAGACAGTAGTCTTAGGAGTCAATCTCATGAGGCACACCTGGAAACTTAATTTATTTGGGGGGGAAAGAGAAGAAGAGGAATGGGGAGGTTCAAGTCATACCCGGTGATGCTCAGGGCTTACTTCGGGTTCAGGGCTTACTCCTGAGGACATAGGGGGATGTCAGGGATCGAACCCGGGTTAGCCATGTGCAAGGCAAGCACCCTACTGACTGTACTACTGCTCTAGCGCTGGAGACTGAATTCAACCTAGTCAGAATGGCCTTGAGAAGTAAGCTGCAAGAAAAGCTAAACCTCCTTAAAGTTCCTTCCCTTCCCTGATCAACCCAGATATTGTTTGAAGGGCTCAATTCACCTGTGAAGGTGTGTTGCTCCTATAAATGGTTTCTCAGCTCAAAATAAGTCAAGAGTCCCTCGCTGTCCCAGAGATTAGAGCTCTGAACTGTGTCAGATCTAAGAGACTAAGAGGTTCTCGGAAGCTTAGGGTCATCCCAACTAAACAGCTTCCCTCCCAGTCAGGCTCTAAGCTAGTCCAAGGAGAGGTAAACAGCTTTAGATGGGAAGTACAGTCTTGGTTTGATCTGGAAATGTGAGAGCTACATTTCAAACTTAATTACATCTTGGGGCTGGTGCTAATTTGCATATGCCCAACCTGGGTTTAATCCCTGGTACCCCAAGCCCCACCAGTAATGATTCCTGAGTGCAGAGCCAGTGATATGGCCTGAGCACAGCCAGGCTGGCCCAAAACAACAACAACAAATCAAACTTAATGTATCTTGGTATAGCCTCCAAACTCATAGACCCAAGTTCAAGAGCCTATAAGGTCAGGCAGGAAAGGGTAAATGAATGAACAGAAACGATAAACTGGAGAGCGAATAGTCCAGCTGACTGAGTCCAGGAGGAAATAAGGCCCAGGGATCTTAGAATTATCACCCAAAAGTTGAAAACTTGAACTCTCCCCATTTTAAAACAGTTAACTAGGTTGTTTCCTCCCGGGCAACTGGTGTGCACTGCAGCTGAGGGAGTTTGGATCCAGACTGTGGTTGCATGGATGGACGATGCCACAGCCCACAGCACAAAAGGCTGCTGTTGTGCGCTGCCCGCATCGGGATTCTGATTTGGGGGAAGTTTGGTCATAGAAATTCAAAGGTTCTTCCTTAAATTGTCTTTTTCTTCCCCAGCATGAAATGTATCCATTTATAACTGCCTATTGCCTGTTCTATTAGCATCCAAAAACGTAGAAGGCCTCCCAACCACCATTTTCTGCTGTGTCCTTAGGATGTGCAGTAAAAAATATAGACCTAACAGTTTATGTTATAGAATGGCTTTATTTACTTTGGTGACTGTTCATAGTTTTTAAATAAAAAACTGAACATTTAAAAAAAAAAAGAAATTCAAAGGTTTTAGACAGTCATGCCCATGAACCACCTCCGGCACCATGAAAGTTCTTTCACCAACCATGATCCAGAGACTCATAAATAAATCTCAATCACACACATGCCCCAAAACCCAACCCAGTGAAAAATTTAACCCCAGCTGTATCACCTCATTAAAAATTTTTTACTTCTGGGCCTGGAGTGATAGAACAGCAGGTAGGGCGTTTGCCTTGCACGCGGCCAACCCGGGTTCGATTCCCAGTATCCCATATGGTCCCTTGAGCACCGCGAGGAGTAATTCCTGAGTGCAAAGCCAGGAGTAACCCCTGTGCATCACCAGGTGTGACCCAAAAAGACAAAAATTTTTTTTTACTTTATGGAGCAATACCTCAAACTCTACAACACTGATACACCAGGAGTAGCACACCAGATAAGATGGGAAGTAATGTAGAAGGCATCCGATCTCAATTAACAAAATATCAACACAGAAGGCTTAACCTGTAACAACATCTTAGTAATCTCTTATACAAGGGCTTAATAGCTCCACGGTGAGATACACAATCTTCACTAACTTTCTTCTGAGAAAACATTTTTTGATCATTCTTTTAGCAAATTATAACATGCAATATAAAATAAAATTATTGAGGACCTGCTATGAAAGCGGACTTAAGGGGTGGTTGGGAAAATTGGAGATAATGGTGGTGGGAAAGTGCAATGGTGGTAGGATTTGTGTTGGAATATTGAATGTCTGTAACAAATCTTCATGAACAACTTTGTGTTTATATAAAGGAAAAAAATTTAATTTTTATTAGTGAAACACCATGAAGTACAGTTGTAGACTTACAAATTCTTGTGCTTGGGTTTCAATTAGACAATGATCAAGTACCCATCCCTCCAAAAGTGCCCATTCTCCACCATCACTGATCTCAGTGTCCCTCCCAGCCTCCCCATTCCCCCATCCCACCCTGCCTCTGTGGCAGGGCATTCCCTTTTGTTCTCTCTCTCCTTTTGGGTGCTGTGGTTTGCAAAAGAGGCAGTGAGTGGCAATCATGTTCAGTCTATAGTCTACTTTCATCATGCATCTCTCATCTTGGGAGGATCCTCCCAATGCCCTTTATTTGGTGCTCCCTTCTCTATCTGAGCTGCCTTTTCCCCTAGCATGTGCAGCTGGCCTCCAAGCCATAGAGTAAACCTCCTGGTACTTATCTTGGCTATTTTGGGTGTTAGTCTCCTATTTTGTTACTTTATGTTCTCCAGATGAATGCAATCTTTCTATGTCTGTTCCTCTTTTTCTGACTCATTTCGCTTAGCATGATACGGAAAAATATTTTTTTAAAAATAAATAAAAATGAAAGGTTTTATGGCTGTCACACCCATGAACTGCCTCCGGGTGCCATTTAAGCACATTAACGGCCATGATCCAGATACTCACAAATGAATCTCCAAACCCAATAAGCAGCTCACTGCAGAGATGTCTCTAGACCTTGCTCCAGGCTGATTTCACGGGGGCACCTCAGATGGGAGCAGGCATCCTCTCTCCACCTGTCCCAAAGAAACCCCAGCAGCCACAAACCTCCAGAACTTAATTGGGCCCATCAGAGCTTGCTCTTCACGGGCTATCCTGGGCCACCCCACACAAGAGAATAAATCCACTGAAAAACCCAGGTATGCAGGACCAGTGAAACACCAGTCCTCAAGGGGTCAGAACTGAGTCGTCCCTTCCCATCTCCTCACCCTTCCTGGGTCCTGGCTGTCAGGCCCACAAACTGACTCCAGGTGCAATTTAAGCACATTAACAGCTATGATCCAGAGACTCAGAATGAATCTCAGAACCAAGCAGCTCACTGCAGAGATGTCTCCAGACTACAATTATTTAAAATTTTAGAATTTCAGGAACATGCACCCGCTGTTGTGGCCATGCGACATCTCACACCATTTTTTTTTAAACCTTTTTTGAATCACTGTGAGACCTTTACAGACATCTCATAGGATTCTTAACAAGCAATACAAAATAAATTATCTAGCATCTGCCTGTGGGACAGGCTTGAGTGGTAGTGGGAAAATGCAAAATAATGGTGGTGGGAAGGTGTATTGATGGTGGGATTGGTGTTGAAATATTGAATGTAATCCATTATTGTGAACAACTATATGAAAATAAAATTTAAAAATTAAAAATATATTAAAAATAAAAGGTTTTATACACAGAAGGATATTAAAAAATGAAATAGAAATTAATTTTTTTTGGTCGGTGTTGAGGACCAGGTTTCGGCCACACCGGGCACTGGTGAGGGGCTACTTTAAGCTCAGTGCTTAAAAAGAAAAATGTGATTTCACAAAACAAATCACAGAATAATTCTATTTAGGATCATGCCACCTTAAATTATCATTGATTTTTATTTTTGTGAAGATTAACTAGTACCTACTAACTCAAGGAAGTTGCTTTCAATAGAAAACTAGCAATTCTAAATTACCAAGAAACAATTAGGAGCCGGAGCAATACAACAGCAAGTAGGGCGCTTGCCTTGCATGCAGTCAACGTAGGTTCAATCCCTAGCATCCCATATGGTCCCCCGAGCCCACCAGGAGTGATTTCTGAGTGCTGAGACAGGAATGAGACCTGAGCACCAACAAGTGTGACTCAAAAACAAAAAAAATAATAATAATAAATAAACAAATTCAAGTATCTTACTTTTGTGTAGATATTCAATTAGCTGGTATATCTGGGCAATGCCTTCCTCTGTCAATGGGGATCCAAACACTACTCCTTTTTCTAAAAGAAAGAAAATACATATATACATACATATTATATATATGTTAGGGCTATATTTTCCACAAATAGTACAAAATCATCATGTTTAGCATTCTATATCGCAAGTCAGCAAATGTTTTCACAGGATCCGTTAAAAAGCCTTAGAGCTGGAAGTGTCCAGACAATAAAAAGAGAATAATTCTTAATCAGATCTCCAGTGTTTAATATCAGGCTGTAGATTCTGTGAAGATAAGGACCCTCTTACTTAAATAATTATGCCTGCAAAATGAAAATTAATTTAAAAGCAAAGCAAAATCAGAGCATGGGTACATTTTACTCTGGAATTTCTTGTGGTGTAATTCCTTTCTTTTCCTTTACTGGCTCGCTCTCTCTCTTTCTCCCCCTCTCTCTCTTTCTCTCGCTCTCGCTCTCTTGTCCTCTCACTATCTGCTCTTGTTCTCTCCAGTTCACTCACTCTGTAACTTGCTCTCTCACCCTCCCTTGCTCTCTCCCTCTTGATTTAGCTCACTCTCTCTCTCTCGCTCACTTTCCCTCTTGCTCTCATTCACTCCCTCTTACTGGTTCTCTCCTTACCAACCTCCTGTTGTTGCCCTCTCTCATACTTTCTAAATAAAATTGTGAAGCTTAAAAAGAAACAAGGGCTTGGGCAATAGTATAGGAGTGGGCGCTTGCCTTATATGCATCAACCCAGGTTGGATTACTGGCACTGCATATGCTCACCTGAGCGCCACCAGGAGTAATTCCTGAGTGCAGAACCAGGAATAAGAACTGAGGACTTCTGCGTATGACCCAAAAATAAACAGGACTTGGTAAAAACATGAGATTATCCACTACAGCTAATTCAAGGTCTGATCTGTTTACCTTATTTTAAACTGTAATGATTTCCTTATCCTTAATAAAATCTCTTCAACAGGGCCAGTGAAATAGTCAGGGGTAGAGGTGCTTGCCTTAGATGTGGCTGACCCCAGTTCAATCCCCAGCACCACATATGGTTCCCCGAGCACCACCAGGAATGACCTTTGAGCAAAAAGACCTCTATGTGGCCCAAAATCAAAATAAGACCAAATTAAAAATAATAATAACATATATATCATAGATATTATCAAAAGTATTACCACTGCTTTCTGTGAGGGCTTTTTGAAGGTGATTCATAAGGATTTGTCTTGGGGCTGGAGCGATAGCACAGCGGGGAGGACAATTGCCTTGCATGCAGCTGACCCGGGTTCGATTCCCAGCATCCCATATGGTCCCCCGAGCACTGCCAGGGGTAATTCCTGAGTGCAGAGCCAGGAGTAACCCCTGTGCATCGCCAGTGTGACCCAAAAAGTCAAAAAAAAACCCAAAAAACAAAAAACCATAAGGATTTGTCTTATCAAAGCTTCTCATAGAATGAAATGATTTGAGAGCTACAATATAAATATTCGAATTTTCTTACTGCACTCTCCAAAATGTGTGATTTTATTTTTTTAATATTATCGTAGCATGGGGCTAGAGTGATAGCACAGCAGGTAGGGCGTTTGCCTTGCACACGGCTGACCCGGGTTCGATTCCAAGCATCCCATATGGTCGCCCGGGCACCACCAGGGGTAATTCCTGAGTGCATGAGCCAGGAGTAACCCCTGTGCACTGCTGGGTGTGACCCAAAAGAGCAAAAAAAAAAAATTATCGTAGCATAAGCTTTCATAGGGTACGTGCTACAATATAAGGTGCCCCTAGTAATTATCTAAAGCAATCCTACCACCTCTCTAGGCTCATAAAGAACCTCAATGCTTTACTTTAGTTATTATTTCATCTCCACTGATTTTATAAGCTTCAAAACTAAGATTTAAGGTTTGCCACATGACCGTGACCACCATGCCTTACAGAATCAGCAGCTCCAGAGTGTGCGATGCTAAGTGTGAAGCCCTAGCAGCGGCAAGACCTGCCCTCCCTTCCCCGACACAACCCCTGGCCTACCCTTTCTCTTGAGAGATATCAGAGACCGGAAGAATCCTGAGGCTGGGCCGGCCCCCCCAGGCAACTTGAGATCCACTTCACCCATCAGCTGAGCCAATTCTGTTCCAGGTAAATCAATAAGTCTTGTGATATTGCTGACGACCAATTCCGTGAACACCTCCGGTTTCTCATGTCGGAGCTTCTCCACAAAAAAGTCAGGATTGAAGATAATGGGTTGACCACGAAGGGACGAGTCATTGCAGGTAAGGAAACTGCAGATAGCATCACTGAAAATATGAAACAGAAACAGAAGGTCCCCTCTGGGGAATGTGCTTCTCAGTTATCCCCTGCAGGCTAATCTGTGTGCTGACATTTTCTTTGGCAGAGGGCTCTCCTAGCAGTGTGGGCGGCAGGTGATACTCTGCTCCAGGCAATTCCCAGCCCAGATATTCAACCCTGACTGTCTGGTTCCACCAGAACCACCCTGGTAGCTCAGGGGCCATGTGATACTGGGGATCAAACTCAGTACCTCACAAGTGCTCCTTTTAACTTAATACCTGAGAGGCAGGGAGAGAGCCCAAAGGGTTATTGCAAAGGCTTTGCATGTAGGAGGTGTGGATTCACTCCCAGCAGTGATGGTACCCCAGCATCACTGGGAGTGAGCCCGGCTGGGCTTGATCTCTAGCCCCATAAACAGTCCCCCAGCACCACCAGGAATGGTCTCTGACGACAGAGCCAAGAGTAAGCCCTAAGCACAGCTGGGAGTAACCCAAATCAAGCAAACAAACGAACAAAATATTTCTGGATCTGATGATTGCACAAAAGACAATCCATTCCTAAATACTTAGAAATTAAGTTCAATGAAGAGACACCAAACAGTCACTCTACTATGAATGCTATGAATGACCTACACTGGTGAAGGGATGGCTGTTGGAACATCGTATGCCTAAAACCCAATCATGAACAACTGTATTTACAACTGTATCTCACCGTGATTGAATACAAAATTAAAATTAAAAATAAGAGATTTTAAATATATGTATGAATTACCTAAATTTCTGTTTTAATTTCAGGCATAAGCCACACAAAGATATAAATCTTAGAGTATCCCAGATCTGATAGACCATTAGAACTGGTAGTCACACAGACAAGGGCTACTTAAAACTTTTTCCATTCTCAACTCCTTCTCACCCAAGAAATGCAACAAGGGCAGGCATTTCAGAAATACCCCAGGTTCACTAAGAGGTCGATCTTAATTTTTCAACTAAGAGATTGAATTAATTTTGGTCATTGTGCATTCAGAAACCTTCAAATGTTGCCAAATTTTTGGCTACCCCCACACTAGGTTTCTGCAACCCACAGCTTAAGAAGCTAGAACACAAACCATGCCTCCTTCTAAAACAGTCGAGCCCTGGATTGTTTACTGTGGAGGGAGTGTGACACATCAGATCTACAACTGCTCCCCCTAACGTGGCAGAGGGCGAGCCGGAAATGCAAACCTTCCTCGGACACAGACAGCATCAGCCTGCTTCCCACGCAGCAGGCCACTCAAATGCCAGGAAACCATGTCAGAGCTAACATGAGACTGTATCGGAGATAAAACTGTGCTTAACTGTGCAGTGGACATTCTGGAGACATTTACTCGCCCCAGTGTTCTGTGGTTCCTGGGTCTGCACCAGGCAGCTGAGTCCTTAACCGTCAGCGCCTTTTAATTTGGCAAGCCACCTTGGGTTTCGCTTAGAATGGGAAGCACAGGTAAGACAAAATACGTCTTAACTTGGCCTTATCCAGGCCTGGGCCCAGGCTTTATTTTCTAAATCCTCGATCCTTTTATTCTCAATGCTTCTGGCCAACCATCTAAGTCCACCTTTGCTTAGATACCTGGCAATACCCAGGGCTTACTCCTGGCTCTGCATTCAGGAATTACTCCTGGTAGGACTCAGGAACCACATGGAGTGCCCAACAGTCACTCTAATATGAACGGTCTGCACCGGGGAAGAGACGGGTGTTGAAACACCAATCCAAATGACTGAAACCCAATCAACCTGGGACTGAACCTGTGCTGGGCACATTGTAAGGCAAGCACCCTCTACTCCTGCTCACTCTACTACTACTCCAGCTCCTGTCGGTCCCTGACCTGGCCGGTTTTTCACTCCTTCAGAACTTAAGAGTATGATCCTGGAAAAGCACCTCTGACTCTCAGAAACATTTTCTTCCCTGTTCTTTGATTCCTAATGTCCAAATACTATTTTTTTTAACTTTTTATTTTATTATGCTACATAGACAAGCTGTATTAACTTATCTCCACATTTTTCACTCATGGGTTGCTCCCGGCTCTGCGTCAGGAACACTCCCGGTGATCCTCCAGGGACGTGAGGTATGAGAATTGAACCCGGAATTCCTATATGCCAAGTACATGCTCCAGCCCTCTGAGCTATCCACACCCCCACCACCCTGTTCCATTTATGATAGCAGGCACATCCCTTGTTTATACTCATTATCAATTATCTAACAACAGATTATTCTAATCTCTATTATAAAGAGTCATGCATTCTATAATTGACTGTTGAGTATGTCTACACAAGCTAAAGAGGACAAGTCATCGCATTATGTTAGGCAAAGTCGAATTTCACCCCAACTCATAAAAACGTTCCCACAGCACCAGGGAGATAGGACAGACACTTGTCTTGCAAACAGTCAATCCATTCTGATCCCCAGTACCCAACCTGGTCCCCCAAGCACTGCCAAGAGTGATGCACTGATTCAGGAGTAAGCCCTGAGCACCAATGTGTGACCCCCAGAAAAAAAAAACCCCAGAAAAGAAACAAGAGTCAATATAAGCTATTGTTTATAATTGTTGCCAATAGGAAATTACTATTCTACTCAAAGAGCTTGAAAATCATGAAATGTGTTAGCACCAAAGCTTTATAATTTTATTTATGGAGGCTAAACTATCATTTTATAGAATTCATAGTTCTTTGGAATTAAAATAACAGATTTCCAGGCCGGAAAATCTGATAGTACAGTAGGCAGGGTGTTTGTCTTGCAAGCAGCCAACTTGGGTTCCTGGAACCACCCGACATGATCTCTAGAAAGCACCAGGAAGGATCCCTGAGGAAATCCTGAGCACCACTGGGTGTAGCAAAAAAAAAAAAAAAACCAAAATAATAAATTAAACAACAGATTTCAAATCAAATTAGTAACGGGACATACAAATGTACACAAATAGAATCAATTCCTCAAGTAGATACACATACACACACAGAGCTTCCAGATCTTTATTCTCATAATTCAGACCAAAACTTAACTACTGCGGACATAGCTCAGCAACAAAGCACTTACACCGCATGTGTGGGACCCTGGGTTCAATCCCCACCCACCAGGGACTGAGAGACAGCAGCCGGCTCTACCTAAGGGAGCCCCATGTTCAATCCTCAGGACCCCAGATGTGATCAAATAAGAAAGTGAAAATTGGCTAAAGTCACAAAGTCCCTGCTACACGATTTCTCACCAGAATCCTGTCTGGCCAGCACCAACAGGCTGGCTCCCTCCCCAGTCTCTGAAAACAGGGGAAGAATTAAGAAAATCAGGAATCAGAACAATAGTACAGTGGGTAAGGCACTTGCCTTGCACACATCCAACCCCGTTCAATCCCTGACCTTCCATTTGGTCCCTGAATACCACCAAGAGTAATGATTCCTGAGTGCAGAACCAGAAGTAACCCTTAAGCATCGCCAGATGTGACCCAAATACAAGCAAACAATCAACCAAAAAACCAAAGTTAAGAAAATCAAGGTTGCAAATACAAGACAAAGATAGCTCAAGAGCCTAGTCCACGCTTAAAGCTAAAGGAATCTGTTTCTTTCCTCTTAGCTTTTTCTTCCCTTCCCTCCCATTATCATTCACGCCACACCCCACTTTAACTTCTTTAATCTAGTTTCATTTTTTCCCTTCCTCACTTTTTCTAAGTAGAGCATCTGGACCTAAGAGAGAAATTATTTTTTAAGGGGGTGGGGGCGGCATGAAATGGTAGATGAGAAGTGGAAAAGGCAGGGTGGGTTGAGGTTTTTAATTCGCTTCCTATTACCAAGTCCCCTAATACCTTTCCACAGAATATACACCACCACAACAAAGACTCAGACTATCAAAGACCATGATTATGAACTTAAGAAATTTCCAAGACTAAAGAGAGTAGTATTCTACTTAAGCAAAAAAACAACTCTCAGCAGTATCCTGTTTTAAAAGTAATTCTACATTTGCTCAAATTCAAGGGGAAAAAATTAATTTCTTACATAAGTGCTGAAAGCTTCTGGTGAGGCATTGGTAAATCGAAGAGACAGGAAAAAGGCTTTCTCCTCATTTCTTGTGACAAAGAAACCTTCCTTTCTCTGCCCCAATTCAGCCTACACAAATTCCAGACATGCTAGAGAACACAAGGGAACATTATGGAGCCTGAAAGGCAGCACTTAGAATACTCAGCACTTAGACACAAGTAGGAACAAGACAGAAATAAAAAAAAAAAAAACTGGACCAGTTAACTCTGTTTACGAACGCACAGATGAAGTTCGACTATCTCCCATTGCCACCGAAGGTTGTCTTAATTAAGTAAATCAATCACATCCCACAAAGTCATTTTATAACATAGGCAAGGTGATCTCTATGTCACAAATAAAAATAAAAATAATAATAATATAAAAAATATGTATTAAAAAAGCCAAACTTGGACCAGAAAATAGTACAGCTATAGTGGATAGGGTGCATGCAGCCAACCCAGGTTCTATTAAATAAATAAATTAAAATTTTCTTAGGAATTTTATAGTTGCTTTTGTACATGTTGCCCCAGTAGTCCAGGGATATAGCCCAGGAACTCACACATGCAGGGCAAGTGTTTCCCACAGAGCTATACACCCAGTCCTTTGGAATTTTCTATTGTTTCTAGGTTCCACAGTGATGTCCTCTTTGTACCAAACATTAGTAATTTATTTTTTCTTTAAACATCTATATCTTTTTTCTTTTTTTTTTTTTGCTTTTTTTCTTCCTTCTTTTTTCTTTCTTATTCTTATCTTTTTTTAAAACATCTATATCTTATTACTGTTTATCAATTACATTAGCTTTATCAAGATTCCACCTTTCAGTTTTACTGAATCCCTCTTCTGTAAAATTTATTATTCAGTTCCTTAATTTCTACTATTATCTTAATTACTTCCTTTCTTCTATTTCAATTTCTTCAGGTCTCTATAAAGTCTTAAAAGCAATCAGTGAACCAGAGAGAGAGCTCAAAGGTCTC